TATCTGTATTATGGGGGCTGTGCGATGAGGTTCAGGTAATTTTTGATGTAACTAAAAGCTTGTTGTGCTTTGTCGTAAAGTTTTGAAGCGGATTGTTGTATCAGTCTAAGGTTTCGAAAAAACCATACTCGTGCAGACGTTGTGCTGATCAAAACGCACTTTTCAGAATCTGGGAAATGATCATATCCGAAAAGTAACGAAGCTTTCAAGTGTAGAAAATGCCCAAACTGGCCAACTTTTCGCCCAGAAAGCTTGCTTCAACATATTTTTGATCGTGGTCGTCTTGCAGATTCTGAAAAGTACGTTTTAATCAGCGGGAAAACCTGCACAATATAGGCTTTGCCACATTCAAAACTCACTAAAAAACTTCTCTTTGTTGGGCATATGTCAATCTGAATACTTCCCAGGATCCATAATGCCTTTGGTTGCAGTTATTTATGCAAGATTAGAAGGTATTAGCACGTTTTAATGCATACCTTTAGCTCACTTTTCACCTCGCTAAGAAGTAGCTACTTTAAACTTCAACCTTCTTTGTAAACCTACGACTTTTCTACTTCCCAAAAGTGATGTGCTATCTAAAAAACTTTACGTTTCGGAGTAAAAGGTCAGCCATGTGATCGGTCGCTCCTTTCCGCTCCCCCACCCGGAATCACGAGGCGATTATGGATTTCCACGGAAATAACGGACACACAACAACACTTTTTGATAAAGATACGCGTTGTTGTTTGGACATTTGTCGCCAACCTCAAACGTTGCCTTTTTTCTTGCTGAGAAGGTGAGAAGTAAGGTTTTCCCGGCCCTTTAATCTCAAAATTCCCATGTCGACGCCCAATTTCGAGGGCATTCCTCCGCAGGAAATGACCTTGCAAAGCTTTGTCTTGCTGTTTTGTTCCCCCTAAAATGCACTGCTTACACAAACGGCGACCCCTAGAAAACCGGGATGTGTACTGTTCCTCCCTCAAGATACATTTTTTGTTTTTATCGGGCGTTGGGTGCCGCTGCAAGTGCATGAAATGGCCCTCCGGGGGCCCCGCACGTCAAAACAACTGAGACCAGGGCCCCGGAAGGTGCGAATGGACAGGGCACGCTTAGGACATCATTTTCCTTCACCGGGAAATGGGTGAATACTTTAAAATTTTGTAATTTTTTGTAGGTTTTTGGAAAACAAGGGTGATAGATTAGGGCTTCATCGTTTTGTACTGGTAAATTCAGTGTCGATTTTATACTAGAATAAGCGTTTTACTGCTTTTTAGAGGGATGCACAAGGCTTATGACGGCTGCGTACGTATTAAACGTACGTACGCAAGCGCGTCAAAATGGAAAACGCATGCATTGCCCGTCCTTTTAAAGTGACAGTGACAACAATCTAGCACCTGCCTTCAACGTTCTTAAAGCCATTCAGCATAACCGCGTTACCCCTGAGCCAGCTACCCATTCCGCCGACCCGTTAATTTGCATAGGAGGTGACCGGGGGAGGGCATTGTCCCCCTCGGGGTTCCATGTGCACCCACCGGGGGTCGAACCGGAATCATCAGCAACCCAGTCACTCATTCACTCACTCGGCCGGCACCCAGCGGTTCGTCCTATTGATTTCGTCACGCGCGCGAGGGCACTATTCCGCACAGCTATAGCCTCAGCTGGTGAATGGTTGTGTAGTGTCCACTCTAATTTTTGGTTTTTAATTTTATTCCCTTTCTTTCTTATTTTTAGGGAAACATTATTGTGAGGGCTTGCTGACACTGTCCCTTTACTAGATTAGTTTATTGCCTGGCAATTGTTCGAAAACCAATCATTAGGAAAATATTTTTCGAAAATAAACTTTCAAAAACTCGAGAAATTTGCATATAGGCCCTCCACCTAAAAATTTGTCAGAAAGGGGCCATTTCCGAGCTGAGGACGTTTTAAATAGAAGTCTTTGGAGCTTTTTCGATCGCCCATCAGCGGCTTATTTGCATTTTGTCGAAAAATCGTTTTGTCAAAATATCATTTGGTCGAAGTTCCAATAGTGTCGAAACTTCTAGCCTCATTTGACTTCCCTTTCCATGTAATAATTCCCCCGGTTACCTAGCTGCAATATCCGCCCTCCATTGTCATCTACCCCCAATGCCCCATATCCGGATCAACCGCCCCGATTTTAATTGCCGCGCTGATTTGCGGGGGATCGGAAGTAGGGATTAGTCGGAGCGGACGACCCGCATCCATTCCGACCCTTTCTCCCCGCGCTACGTAAGTGTCCACTTTCCGGTCGTCGACCGGGGTCTCTCAGGGATTAGCGGGCTTTCGGACCCCTAATTACTCCATTCATTCCCTGCGATGCTTACATGTCAAAAAGCGGCCGGTCCATTCTGGTTGATTACGTAGTTTTTGGCGGAACAGGGTGTTTCCTGGATTTTAGAATAGGAATTGTTAGACTGTGTTTAGTGGCTTTAAGCTATCTCTCTCTCTCTCTCTCTCTTTCTCTCTCTCTCTCGCCCTCTCGCTCTCTTTCGCTTTTTGGAAGGAAGAGAATAGGAGAGAAAAATCTGGTCAAACCTTCGCGCTGTGCGCAAGAATTCCCTGCGACAGAGAGAGAGAGAGAGAGAGAGAGAGAGAGAGAGAGAGAGAGAGAGAGAGCCAATTGTGGACCGCGAAAACAGGGATGAGCATTGGCGAAGAGGGAAGCAAAGTGAATGGGGGAAATGGGCTCTTTTCCGTCAAAAAAACACGTTGGAAGAGGAAAGGGGGGAAAGAAAAAGGACTAGAGGAAGGGGGAGGGAGGGCAGGGGATGGAGTGTTTGCCGAGGGCACGAATTATCACTCTGTCGTGTCCGGCGATCGATCTCCGGCCATTCTCCCGCCTCATGCTGCTGCCAACCACCTCATTTTGGCCGTTTTATCAAGATCACTGGGATCAGCTGGGCATAGAGTGTACCTATTATATCTAGCTTTCCTTCTCCGCTTCGAGAAACTCAGTTTTTTTTGTCGAAAAAGCCTCGTTCGACATCGACAGCGTTCCGTCGAATACATCAAAAGATGCTCGTTTGTCTGCGCTATAGGCCTTATTATATGAATCGAGATAAAATTCATTTTTACTCGAGAAAACGAACGGTAACTATATCTCTTATTACCTGACATATTGAGCACCGCTTTCCGATTAATATCGATTGCTGAACTTCGCTTAACGTGCCTTACTTTTTGACTATCCTGATTTTTTTTGCTGCCATTTTAAAGTTGCCATACGCAAACCCAAAAAAAGTGGAAACACCTTCCAGTCCTGAGTATTGACACTCGATCTTTGCCTTCTTTTTCCCAGGCGCCGACACGCAAAACCCTCGACGCGTCAACGCATTCGGATGTGAATTTTTGGGGACCCTCGGAAAAATCTGTGGCTTCTTCGAGTTTGTCCGCTCGATTACCCGCTGACTCAGGGCGTGTTTAAGCTTTTCGAAGGTCGAACCTTGGCCGCTTGTTGCGATTCTAGGCCACGGTTTTTTGGGTTCTCCGTGTGAATGGAGCCTAGGCTTAGGCTTAGACTTAGGCTTCATACTTTGCTTGGGCTTAGGCTTCGGCTTCGGCTTCGGCTGTCTTAGGGTTTATGCTTTGCTTAGGCCTAAGATTAGGCGTAGGCGTATTCCCCAAATCACTCACCGAACTTTTCATAGCAAAACGCGGTTTCCGATCACCCAACGATCATAATTTTTGTCCTTTCCACCCCAAAAAAACTTGCTCTTTTTCAAAAGCCATCCCACGCTCCAAATAGTTCATGTTTTCCCGCCGAGCACATAATGCCCAAAATTCGGAGCGTATTTGCTGTTTTGGTGTGTTTTGTGTTGTTCACCCGGGGGCCCGGCAACGCTAAAATTGGGGATGCGGCCAAAATTGGCGCCAACCGGGGCTCCTTTTCAACACCGGTCGAAAGGGCTCTCAATCACTCCCGGTGGTGGTTTTGGTAAGGGGGTCGACATCTGGCCCATCTCACCGGATACCGCCTCGGAGAGGTACGCATATTTCGAAAGCGGCGGTCTCATTGGGGCTTTTGTATAGCTGGATTTGGGCTTCTATTTACATATGTTTGCTACTGTACGTGTTGAAGTTGTGGCCATCTAACGGTTAGAATGAATGCGTCACGACTAACTTACCAATTTCGCTAAACGGCGCGTGTTCCTGGCCATTCAGACGCGCTGATAAACCATATAGACTCGCTTACGAGTCATACGAAGCCAAATATCTTGCTTCCGTTTCCAAAAGTGAGCCTTCCCTCTAGACGTCCTATCTGTTTACCCCTCGACTCGATTTGTGACATATTTTCTTGCTCAGCCGTCTCTCTCTCCCTCTCTCTCTCCCTCTCTTTCTCTCTCTCGCCAATTCCCTGTTTTTATGAATCCCTTCTCCTCGGTGCTACCTGGGACTGTGTTGACATCACCCGCTTGTCCACCCGGTTGGTGTTTGGCCGTGTTCTTTCTGTCGATTAATCGATTCCCTCATCGGGGGAGCGGCTAATTTGTGGAAAATACTACGCGTCACTACTTTCTAATTACCTGCAATTAAAGTATATCCCAAATTTGCGATCGGCTGATCTTCGAATGCCTTCAATTCTGCCCTAAATGTCATTTTGCGTCGACGCAATTCAACACAGGATGGCGATATTTTTGAATTACCACTCCCTGGCATACAATTAGGATTTGCAGGCCCCGTTTTTGACGTGCTGCTGAAAAAGCCTCATCTGAGGGACTCAAAAACGCACTTCTCTACCCGAATTCACCATAGTCCGCTCGAAAATTGCAAAATCAAAGGTTACACCTCATCCCACCTGAGCACGGACTTCAATTTTATGCCCCGAGGGCCCAAACTGCCCCTTTGTGGCCCAGTGCGATGTCGACAAGCGCATTCTTCGCCCCGGCCAGGCGAGGCCCAATGAAAAGCCGTCCGTTTTCACCCCCATTTGAGCCCCACCACTTTTCTCTAGTGTCCCATTCATTAAAATTCTTCCTGGGTCTGCGCTATTGATCATGGATTTGCAGATGTTGACGATACGGAAGATCCTGAATAAGCCGCGGCCAGATGATTGGGCACCGTTGGCAAAATTTTTCTATGCGGACGAAGCGCTACATGATATTGCTTCGGAGCTGGATTCTTTTGATGGCAGGAGGTTGGTGTTCGATTTGGATGCTTGAAATAGTCCTAAGCCTAAGCCTAAGCATAATCTTGAGCCAAGACCCATGCGAAGCCTAAACAAAGTCTAAACGAAGCATAAGCCAAGCCTAAGCAAAGCCTAGTCGAAGCCTAAACCAAGCCTAGCATAAGCCGAAGTCTAAGCCATATCTATTGATCGGTTTTCAATATTCAATTATTACCCTCCTCCTTCCAGAGACCCAGAACGCTGCAATAACCTCGTCAACAAGTTGCGTGTCGCCCAGGATCGCGTGCTGCACATCATTGGTCAGTACTTTTTCGCCGCGCACACGCCTCATCCTCCCCATTTATGAGCCCATCTCGGGGTGCATTCCATGGATGCACTAACGACGTAATACCTCTGCTTTTCAGGCGAGATGCTGATCACCCTATTCCCGCGCGAGTCCGATCGGGCGTGCCGGGATTTTCGCGTCAAGTTCCCGGATGAAATTGTGCATGAGAATTTGCCTGGGCAACTGTGGTTTGGCGCTGAAGTGGGTTTTTGAGAGAGAGACGAGGAGAAAGGAGAAAAATCAGCAGAAAAACAAAAATCTATAGCGAAAAGATTTTGTAGCAGAATGCCGAAAATTGTTGCGAGGAATTCAACTTGTCGAAAAGCATTTTGTCGGTATTTAAGTTTGTCGATATTGTATTTTGTCGGAATTAAAATATGATGGGCTTTTCGTATATGAAAAAAGTCATCTGACTTTAGACAACATGAAATTTCGTGGGATTGAGTGTTGGCATTCCGATTTTCGACAAAATCAAAACGAGCCTATAAAAAGTTCTTTTTCGTTTTATTCGTTAGGTTCCCTTTAAAAACATCCCTTTACAACCAAGCTATTAATGCTTCCAGTGCCTCGCCGCCGGCTCCAATATCATCGACCATGAAGCGGAAAGTGAACGGATCCGACCATTGGCCAAAGAACTCACCAATCACCTCGATTTTCTCAGGGACCTATTGAAGGTAACACAGCTATATGAATTCAGATTTTTCAATCTTAAAGCTTCTTACGATAGCCAAAAATATGCCCTCTATTTCAGCATCAATCCCTCCGCGACACTGCTCACTACACCGAGGGGATCAAGGATAATTTGCTCAAATTTGATCGACTATTTGCCGAATTTGAATTCAAGTAAGTAGTACGCCTCGAAACTACTAAAAAAAGCTCGGTAAAGCCTCTATAACATACCTTTGCAGATATGTATCAGCTATGGTCCCTGTGAAAAGCATCAAGGAACACGACAGTCAATTGGATGTTGCCGTACTGTTCTCAGATTGTTTGGATCGGGCATTAAGGTGAGCTCCTAAAATGCAATTTAAATTAAAATCAAATTCTAGGATCGGTTACGTGACGCAGGACCAAATTGACTACTGCGACCCCTCGGTGATGATTGTCGTCCCCAGATTGGCCATTGTTTGGTAAGCAAAAATCACTAAAAATATATTATAAACTGCTTAGGGGTTTGACTCAATTCCCACAAGGCGCACTGAACGTCGATGCGCCCCCAGATGACCTATCGGAGATGTTCCGACCATTCCACTCATTGTTAATCAAGATTCGGAACTTGTTGAGGGTGTTGGACCCGGCGGAGATGAACAAGGTAGATTAGAAATAGTGAAGGGTAAATAATAATCGAATTTTAGTTGGAACGCGTGCTCTGTTCCGGAGAGTCGAACGAGCCGGCGGAAGCAGAAGCAGAGACGTTGATGATGTCGGAGTTCCGGGGGAGCGACAAGGCTGAACGTCTTGAGCGTATCAACCGCCTCGAAACCGGACGTCATTCCCCTAGCGATGAGATTGGGGACTTCCGCTTTGGGTTGAAGGAGATTGAGAAGATGACTGGGGTGAATCCGGCAAAGAAGACTTGGTACGTCTTCAGAACATTTCATCGTTCTACAAAACTAGATAAGTTTTACGATGACTCCCTTGTTTTAGCGTCTTCCAAATGGAGAACCACGACCTTCGAGCCCGTTTCCGGTCAACGGAAGATCTTCTACATCGGCTTTTCGTGTGCATCTCTGGCGTGGCCGACCAGCTGCAGTCAAATTACAGCTCAGAGGTTCGAAAGGTTCGTTTAATTTTGAATTTTGAATGATGACACCGCTTTCAGGTGCTGAAGATGATTCTTCAACCATCCGAGGTGATTCCAATTTATGAGGTGCCTGGGCAGGATGCGCCAAATCCTGGAGTGAGCGAAGAGGAGACTGGGGTTGAAGTCCACGAGTCGTTGCCGTTACCAGCATTCATAGGTGAGAGCGAGCGACAGAGAGAGAGAGAGAGAGAGAGAGAGAGAGAAAGAGAGAGAGAGAATTCCACAAAGAGCTATCCAAATAATCCAACTCCACATCTTTAGGCGTACGCTGGGTCCCAGATGAGGACTGCGAGCAGTGCACAGCGTGCTCTTCTCCGTTCACAGTCGTCAGGAGAAGACACCATTGCCGGAACTGCGGACGAATTTTCTGCGGGAAATGCTCGGCAAAAAGTCTGCCAATACCGGAATTGGGATACGATCGGAATGTAAGTATCCGCAACTTCACGCATGCACAAAATTAACAAAATCTTTAACGATCGCCTCTTCAGGTGCGCGTCTGCAACCTGTGCTACTTGCACAAGTTGAACCCGTTCATGCCGTGCATCCCAACCCCTGCTCAAGCAACTGCAACGACGGCCCCGACGGCACAACCGAGGAGTTGACCGGAAGAGAAAGAAAAATGACAATCAAGATGCCTTCCCTATACATATCCAATTCTACACATTGTATTCCCGGTTTTCGCTTTCCGCCTCGCTCCACTGTACATAAATTTGCCATGGCGTTCTCCGAGTTTCGAGAGCTTTTTTGGGAGATCGGATTCTGGCTTGGGAGCCTAAGCCTAAGTCTAAGCCTAAACCTACACCTGGCTTCTGATCTCCCAGATGCGATTCTCATTTGCCCAACTCTCCGTTCCTTATTCACCCCGAACGTGCCTCACAAGTCGCCTAATCCCCAAGCAGAAGACCCCCGACCACCCGCAATGTGATTTTGGGCTCCACCACTTTTTTGGGGCCCAGCCGCGTTGAATTTTTTTGAGCCAAACCACCCCTCCTCCTCCTCCTGCTCCCCTCATCCAGCCTAATGGATGCCCCCCGGGGGTTGGAAGGATGGCTAATTCTATCGGCCTTCATGGCCCGGAATTTCAGGCCTCTCGATGCCCCCAGGGCACATCCACAGATCCCCCCATCCTTTCCCTCCACTCTGCGCAGAATGCAATAACAGCCCAACCATGCTCTTATTTTTCTCTTTTTTTGTTGTCTCCGTTCCGTCCGGTCGTCCAGGCCCGAGGGCTTGGATTATGGATTTTTTTGGAAAGTGGGGCTTGGGCCGATGTCTGGAGCCTAAGCGTAAGCCTAAGCCACAGCCTAGGCCTAAGCCTAAGCCTAAGCCTAAGCCTAAGCCTAAGCTTAGGCTCCTTCTCCCACTCCTCGTGATACCTAATACTTGTTTCTAGCGTTTTTCACCTTGTACATCTCCTTGCTCCCCGCCAAACTTTTAGCACTGTATAGCAACATTTTCACACGTTACCCTTTGACCGACTGGCCCCGCTGAAACCGGTTATTTTCCCCTTGTCTTCCTGAAATCGGGCCCGCTCGGGCCCGACTCACATGAACCTACCCGGTGCGAATAAAATTTTCGAATTAGATGATTAATTTGGAAGGGCAAAAGATTTGAATAGAATTAGTCGCCATTTTAGGCGATAAATTGCGCTCGAAAATTCTAAATCTATTAATGTCGGCGTAAAAATAAATTTCTGATTTAGCAAAAGAATTGAATCTGAAAAATCGGTCACAGCAACTTCAAAAGTTCAGGAAATGAAAATGGCATCAAAGGTTTGAAAAATCAAGCCCGTTTGATGCGTATTTTGTACTAGCGCGCAGCTGTCGATAGCCCGTGAAGGAGTGGCTGATTCTCACGCTTTCTAAAGCCGTTTACCCGACAATGGCCGTATGGGGACTTTTCGAGGGATCGGGTGGTGTTGTGAGTATTTAGTAGCTGTGGGAAAGTGGCGAAGAGGCCAAATCCCGGGTGGGCTTTCAATAAGCAGCGCCCCTCCGTCACACAATTCGCTGATTAACTGCCCATAAGAATCACTCGAACCATAACAATTCGTAATAATGGGCCGGATTCCGACACTATGCCTACTGACGTCTCTTGCTAGTCATTGAATAAATGATCCATCTTTTTTAGGGCGCTATGGTCGTTAGATGTCCTATTTAACGTTGTTTTTATTCAAAACAAACTTATCGTCAAACCAGTGGAAAAGTTCTTATTAAGGTTTCCATATTTTTGGATGCAAATTATGCCAGAAGTGTTTTTTGGCGCAGATAGGATCTGCTAAACAGCGACGTGTTCTAGACTTTTTAAAATTTTTATTGTTTAAACAAATCTCCAGCTTTTTGGATGCTGTTTTCTTGAATATAAGTAAAGAATTGGTATTTTTTTTTATTTTTCAGGTACAGAAATTGCGATGGAGTAAATTTTCAGGTAGATGGCATTCATTTTGTATTGAAAATTATAACTTTTGACGCACAAATCAACATTTTTACCTTTTTGAAATCGACACTATGAAGGCAATCAATTCTCTTCTTATATGTTTTATATCATAGCCCATAATTTGAATTTTCGAGCGAATTCTGTATTTTTATCGAAATAGTGAATTTCTAAATACTGACTATTTTACAACAACCGCTGGAATTCGAAATCACCGGTCGGCCAGACAGTGGCTTTTTGGTCTAAAATTGGCTTCGCCGCGATCCGTTCAAGCCATCCCCGTCGACAACGTGGAGTAATTCGAGTTGTGTGGGGGGCGCTGACGGCTTCCGGTCCGTTTCGGGCAACGCTCAATCCTTGCGGGAAGGCCTCTGCTTCTTCTCCTTCACCAGCGTCTGCTCCTTAGTGAAGTAAGGAGGAGAGAAGCAGGGAAGGCGAGATAGAAAGAGTGAGTAAGTGCCCTTCTTCTGGTTTTTCTCGCCCTCCGTCTTCTGCAGCTGCTTCTTCGTCTTCTTCCCCTCCTTCGCCTTATTCGGCTTCTCCGTCCGTTCCCCCGCTATGGCCCGCACATTCCCAGCAATTTTCTGGCGGCTCCCAGAGATCGGGGGAGGCCGGAGCGCGCGAGGGCCCCCACACACAAACCCCCTTCATGAACTCTTCCAATCTCGACCCGAGGCCCGCCTAGGGTCTTTTTACGCTTCGAAATGGGCCCCTAGTTTCAGCATCGATTTTTCGGTACTCTCGAGTTTTTTCCTTATCTGATTCACACGCTTAAATTATTTTACATAACTTCTCCAAGAATTGGTAATGGATTTGGTACTGGAAATGGAATCGAAACTTAGTGTCGTTAGGCATGACACGTAGTCGTCGACGCCTAGTTCAGGGTAGATGTTGATTGGGGAATTTTGAAGTTAAAAGTTGTCTAATAAGCCTACGCATAAGCCTACGCATAAGCCTAAACCTAAGCCTAAGCCTAGAACTTCTGACCTTTAAGTAAAAGCCTTGAATCGACTCGAATTTTTTACTGACGACATAACGTGTATTTCTCATGTAAAAAGTGTAGAATGTGCCTTCGACTTGCAAAGTGTACGCTAATCGCCGATTAATGCCTAGTGCTTTGGTTACCACCCTTCCGAGGCGCAGCTTAAAAAAATTGAATTTTGTAATAAATGGAAATGTAGATGCAAAATCTTGATACCTCGCTTCTTAGAAACCTTAAGTATTTTTTGGAACCACCGATTCGTCCTAGTATTTACCGTTGCGGAAAAAAGGAAAGTAAAAGAAAAAGATTTCCCCCTCATCCCAGCCGGGCACTCCTATTGTTTACTTGGGGGCCCTTCCTCAAAAAATTGCTGCCCCACCTCGGGCCGTCTCCTCCTCAAAATTCGCCCTGAAGAATTAGCGCCACGACCAACTTGAGATCCCCCATTCAGCTCAACTTAGGCCCCGGTGCCCGTGAAATATTTATGGCCACTATTTTTGGGGCCCGTGCGGGCCGTCCTGTGGGCCCCTCTGCGCGGCCCCGGGATTCTGTTACATATTTGGACCCTAAAATCCGGGCCCTTTTTGGTGGGCAGTGTTGCGGAAGAGCGTGCCGCGCCTACGTGTCGCCCAACAGAGATATGACCTTTTGGGAGGTGTTCAAATTTGGCGTTCAGATATGCAATGCGCCGTGCTATTGTCGCTGTTACTTTAATTCGAAATGCTGCCAGGGAGTCGTTTTTCTCATGATCCATTGGATCCCTTTCATCGCCGGAGCTTTAGGAAGCCTAAGCCTAAGCCAAAGCCCAAGCATAACCTAAGCCTAAGCTCAAGACTAGGCCTAAGCCTAATCCTAAGCGTAAGTCTATACCTAAGCCTAAGCCTATTCATATAGCTAACCTAGAGCTTAACCCATGCCAAAACACCTGCCATAAACTTTCAACTTTTTGCCAAACACTGCCTACCTGATGGCACGCGATCTGCTGGGACCTATTTTTTTACCTTTTCCACTTCGTTTCCACCCATGGTGCCCAAAACAAATTCCCGGTTCCCATTCGAATTTGGTAAGAAACGATTTTGTTGTTGGAGGTAGTGCGTGTTGGCCCTGGGCTACAAATAACCTGTCTGAAAACCACCTGTTCTCCAGATTCCCACAGCAACCGTGATCGCAAATTTCCTCAAAACAGAAATTATAATGCTGTCAAATTGAATTTCGATTTTTCTTCAAGCTTTGGCTTCGGCTTCGGCTTGTGCTTGGGCTTAGGCTGGGCTTAGGATTCGGCTTCGTTATGAAGCAAACTGGTTCTATTGGCAAAAGATTTTTATCTTTTTGATATTCCTTGGCTCGTAATTTTTTTCGCGCGCGGCTCGTCAGGACCTATTGTGATAGCGAGAAAGGGAGAGAGATAGCGATAAAAAGAGAAAGAGAGAGCTAAAGAGAGCGAGTAAGAAAAGGGGAGATATTGAGTCAAACGTAAGCCGCATCCCGTTTTTTTACTGCTTGCTGGGACTTCCTAGCATTAGAAACTACTAATTAAGTAACTACTTTTATGTTAGCCTCCCGGACTGAATAATTTTTTCTCGCATTTTCCCCTGTGGATTTTCAAGGTGCAATTAGCCAGGGGTTTTTTTTGCGACAAGAAACCCCGAGGCCGACTTCGCCTCGGTCAGTGACGTGCTCCCCGGGGGCTCGATAGGAAATCGTGGCCATTAGCGAGGAAAAAGAAGAAGCCGTGGCGGCAGACCGGGGGGCCCATCCCCCTTCACATCTCCACCCAATAAAGGGCCACCGTCCTTGGTAACGAGCTCAATTTACGCGGGGCGAAATCTGCTCCCGATTTTTTTTCTGAGCCACTCTGGCGCTTCTTTATGCGACGGATAAGGGACTGGTTGCGGATTTTGGACATTGAATTTTTTGGTTGAAAAACTCGTAATGTTTTAATGCTTAAAGGGGTGACGACAGCTAAACCATAAGGTAAGAAAATTTTGTAACCCTCGTTTTGAGGTTTGCTGACCATAGTTTCAGCTTGGTTTTCTGCCGATTTTCGTTCGAGATTTTTTTATGCTAAAACTTCATATTATCGAAAAAATTTCTTTTTCTAAATTGATAATATTTAAAATTTCTTGTCGAAGTTTATTATTGTCGAGATTTCGACAAATCGAGAGTTTTGGTGGAATTTTTCGAGCATTTTCCAGGATATTTTTTCATGTGAAGATTTCAGCTTCGTCATTATGATAGCAAATCGTCTCTTTTTTGTAGCTTTATAAAATTATTTCTTCACCAGAACCCCTTTTACAGCTATCGCCATGCCGATATACCGGCTAACCTATTTCGATGCGATGGGCCGAGCCGAGCCTTCACGGCTGCTTTTCGCCCTGGCCGAAGTCGAGTTCGAAGACAAGCGAATCGCAGCCCGAGACTGGCCACAGGTCAAGTCCAGTGAGTTCGGGAATTTTTTTAAAGGACTGGGGAAAATTCGAGAAGAAGAATTCCTTTATCTCAACAAACCGCACGTAAAATCACATCTAAAGTTGCAAAGCGTACACTTTCAGCAGTCCCATGGGGCCAATTGCCGTTGCTGGAGGTTGACGACCGATCCCTCTCCCATTGTCGGGCCATCGAGCGCTTTTTGGCCAAACGATTTGGTAAGGATTCTACATAAATTTTCGAAAGACTTAGGCTTAGGCTCAGGCATAGGCTTAGGCTTAAGCTAAGGTCTAAGCTACGATCGTGAGTATTTGGATACTGTAGAGCAGACCACTTGGTTTCGTGGCAAACGCTAATTTCCTGCCATGCGGACCGGAAATTAGCTTCATCTGTCAGGTGGCTGTCTGAAAATCGGCAACTACCGAAAGTTATGTTTCCCCAAAAATAATAGTCCTGGTGTTTCAATTACTTGAGACATTCAGGGAATGGTGTCAGAAAGCTTTAAACCCTGGGCATATTTTTTTAGGCTTCTCCGGAAAAGATGAATGGGAGGAGGCAAAAGTCGATGAACTGGTGATGGGGGTAGAAGAGCTACTAGGCAAGATGCAGCCCTGGCTTGATGAGAGCAACACAACTGCCAAGGTAGCCGAAAATTCTTCGACGATCACGAAAACCCAGATAAACCTGCTGAAAAAGCTGGTCGAGGAGGTCATCCACCCATTCCTGGTGTTGTACGAAGATTTTCTAGACAAAAACGGGTCCGGATTCCTTGTTGGGAGTCAGGTATGCTACCTTAAACGACGGCAACTTCTGATTTCTTTAGATAACACTAGCCGATCTTGTTGTTTATCACGTCGTCTCGTTCCTCGATCAGAAAATCATCCCCCGGCAGGTGACGGCAAAGTTCCCGAAGCTGTGCACATTCACTCGGAAGATTCAGGTGAGTCTACCGACCAAAATTCGGTCTGTTATTCGTTGAAAATTTTCGATAACTATGATTTTAGGCGATGCCCCGGATAAAGACGTGGCTGGAGGCGCGCCCAAAGACCGAAGTTTGACCACCTACAACCTGTGACTGATTATACATATGGACTTTTTTTTGATAGTTAATAAATAATTTATAAAGTCGTCTTACGGTCTTTAATGTTTTTAGAAGCTTCTAAAGTAGCAAAGCTACATTATCCTATCACTACGCTTAGCGACAATGTCTGCTTTCCAGATTCTCCCTCATTTCTCGCATTCTGCTAGAGGTCGGAAGGGAAGCGTTGACGCGTGTGTCTTTATTGGGCGCGGCTGCTGAATCAGTTGATGAGCCATAGGCCGGGGCAATTGTCTTCTAGACCTCGCAGCCCAACGATACATCTTACAGCATTGGTTCGGAGGGTACAGAAACCTAGTAAAATGTCTGTAGATATAGGAAGACGGCTTATAGAGACTAAAAAAAGCTCCCGAATTTGGGAAACACGGGAAGCCCAAAAAGACCAAATCAGCACTTCTGATTTGTTGTCCTAACATGAGCACGAGGCAATTAAAATAAGTTTCATTTGAATCTCCGCTAGGATTGTCGAGACCTAAACGGCGGAAAGTATCGATCCTCTCACTTCCAAGTCCCCCTTAAACGATACTAAACGATTCAGATCATCTTCACACTCTCTCATAAAAATGTGCAAGTCTAAATTTTCTCAATCATGTAAGCTCGATACTTTCAACACCTTGCTTTTTTTATAAACAATCGCGAGCTCAGCTGGATTGCGCGACACGTGTGACCTGGGGCCAGAGCCGCGTAAACACAAAAATAAACTATCTCTTGACCCGAGGGGTCAGCTAATTTGCATATGGCTAAGTCATCCAGATTGTGAAAACATCAGCGGGTAGACAATTTAACGTATATAGTTTGAACTGATTTTCCGCATGAAAAAATTGATCTGTGTCTTTGGGCTGGCGTCTCCGTCTATCTAATCAAAGCGAAAATCCAGGAAAACGTAAAAATCTTACATAAGCAAAATTTGAGGCATTAACGGCAAAAATCCGTCAACCCCTAGTTTTCACAACCCTCAAAAATCCGGTATCTCAACCAGTTGCTGACCACAAAACCCCCGAGGTACAAAGCGGCAAAATACCCCGCTTGGCGCGACGCCAAACCCAAGCGGGGTGTGGATGGCACAATGGAGGATGTGTGTCTGTATGTGTGTGAGTGTGAGTGGAGCAAAAAGGGGGCTATAGATCGTATTCAGGGGGTCCGTCTCTGATCCTCCATGTGCGGATTTGCATACAAATCAGCTCGGCCGGTCCACCCGCGGGCGGGGGGGGGGCGCAGCGGCTAACCCCCTCGAGCCGTCACATCGTCTCTCGTCACTTCACTCCACTAGACCATCGCCCCAAGCGGGGCCGTTTGGTCAATCGAAGATTGAAAGAGGATTTCATTGAGAAACTGGGGTTTAGGCGGACAAGGAGGGCCCACGTAGATCAGGGCTCGTCCACAACTAGCAAGTTGCCAACCGGAAATGCTAATGCAAAAGACCTGCCAGAAAGTGAACCCAGTCGAGAGGGAGCAGAGAAGATTAATGGTAATTTTTAAATTAAAACCGGCTCAGGGCTTAGTTTAGAGAAGACAAGTTGCTTTTTAGGGGGTTTCAGCTTACGAGTGTTATTTGGAACGTCACGTAGCGTCACGTCACGTCATCCGCATAACTACGTCAGGTAGTTATACCAGCGCTGACCCCCCGCGTAGCGTTATCCGACAGCAATTATTGTCAATTTCTTCTTTGCCTTACGATTTGTCACTTCCGCTCATCACATTGATTTTCATTACCGTCATGCCAATGAGCAATGGAATTATTATTGCGTGCGCCCCTACACGGCATGGCTCGCAAAGGAAATTTGACTCATACCACCCCCGATAAGTCGTGTATTCGATAAGACTTTTTTTGTCAGGAGGGGGCAAACTGAAGGTGTGTCTGGGGGTGGTGCTGACACACATGTTTCGGGTTGATTCACCATCGCCCGATCGGGGCCCGTGTGCTTGGCGCTTTGTTTTTCTTCCACGAGAATGTCTGCCGGAGATGGTGATTGATATTTTTGGATTACATGAGGTGTGGAGGCTGCAAAATAACGAAAAGGAAAAGAGAATTCGTGTTCTAAAAGACGCTCGAAGATTATAGTTGAAATCAAAACGTCGGAAGCTTAATGTTTTCCACGAAATTCATAAATATTCAGAGCCACACCCGGAAAACTGGCTCCTTTGCTAAGTGATTGTCGTAAACGGAGTTTTTAATAAATCTGAAATTAGCTTCTGAACCTCGTGGAGATGCTGCTCCCTAGTACCTAGATCCAAATGCCAGACATCGTTCCCAATCCACAGTTCAAAAAACCAATCAAAAATCGACATTATCCCAATGGCCCCCGCCATTTCCCGCCGCTTGGACACCGCATTTTCTGGTGCCGATCCCTTCGAGGCAAAAGAAAGGGCGCGGCGGCGGATGAGTCAGCATCGCACCCCACCTTGAGCCCGCCAAATTTTGAACGGGCCTAGAGAGTGGGGTTTGGGCTTAACATTAGGCTTAACCTTGGCGGTGACCTTGGGCTTTGGCTTAGCCATAGTCTAGGCTTATACTGAGGCTTAGGCTTAAGCTTACCTAGTTCGATTGGGGTAAAAGTTACGGTTAGGCGTAGGCTTAGGTTTAACGTAGCTTAGGCTTAAGCTTAAGAATTTTAACGTTGAGCTTAAGAACCCAGTAGCCTCTTAGGCAACCTTCATTAAAACAAAGTTTACCCAGGCTTAATTTCCCCTCAATTACCTAACACATTCCTTTAGCCTCCAGCTGCGGCCACCTGCCCTTCACAGGTGTACATCGAAAATCCGCGGAACAAAGCGTTCCCCCCGCGGGAAATCTGTCTTCAACCTGTCGATTGAGTGACACCTGGGACGCGACAGAGGGCTGCAAAAAACATAGCAACTCTGACTAATCCAGTCGCTGCCTGAAAATTAAAGCAGAAAGCTTAAACGTCCCCTAAAAGTTGGTGACATCATTTTTCGGCTGAACCAAACGGCGGGGTTCGAGGGGATCCCCTTGTGGATCCGGCTCAGCTCCCCTGAATGGCCGATGGCAGCCCCTCACTTCCCTAAGGGGCTACCACCCAGCGGCCATGCTGAAAAAACTCGACCGTCCAGTTGCGCGGCGTGCAAGCTAATATGGCTATTTGTCCGGGCAGTCGGATAGTTTATTGAGCATTACTGTATTGTATACAGGTGGTGGAGTATAATACCGTTAACATACGCGCATAGATTTAGTTGCAAATGATGTTCGTTATATCTTATAACTTAGGCTTAGGCTTGGGCTTAGGGTGGGCATAGTATTGCCTTGCTCGTCTCTTTTTAAGGCCTTTGAAGTCGCAGTCATACAGGCCATTAATTTACCACAAAACTTCAACACCCAAATTCGTTTTCCCATTTACCAACAAAACTCACTTTCCCGCTCGATATTTACTGTTTACGCGTCCAACTCTCGCGCTGGCAATTTGCCATTGGGCGCGTGCTTGTCGCTAAGCGCTCGGGGGGCTTGGCGGCGGGTCGGCTAAGACGCGGAGCTGGGCAGCCAGAAGAAAGACACCTAGTCTCATAATTGCCCCTTCACAGTCCGTCGTTGCGGGTCAATGCCAACCGTCAACAGTCACAGAGATGTACAGACCGGGGGAAAGACGGACAGAGAGACAAAACCCCTCTGGAACCTTCGACTCGGGAAAGACATCTGCGCACGGATAAACACAAAGAAATGGAGGTTTTCGACCCGGTTTAGGTTTCGAAGAGGAAATATAAGTTTGGCAAAATTACATAGATTAAGAGCGGAAGTAAAAAGGGTTATCAGGATTTGTGGAAAATGGCTCGATCCTGAAGATTCGTCGCTCGAAACGATGCTTCATAAGCCATAGCCTAAGTAGGCTAAGTAGGCTAAGTAGGCTAAGCAGTTTTACTACTTTAATCGCCCGCAAGTAGAATCTGCGCCGAATCCGCTGAACCATAGGCTAAACTTTTTCCCAAAGTGCTTCCAAAGCATCCGTTCTGCACTTTACGCTTAAGGTATATATTGGCTCTTACAGACTGCAAATCGTCTTTATTTGTGAAGCCAGCACCCCCCCCCCCCCGACATCTCTAGAGGAACACCCGGAGGGGGACAAGGCGAATGGCTAATCTCACCCCTCACAGCCATCCTCCCCTCCTCTTCTGCCAGACTAGGCGGCTAATAGTCAGTAGAAAAAACAGGGGAGGAGGAACACCCACTCTACTTTCTCTGGTTTGTCTGGGTACGCGAACGGGTATTACGGGTCTTGGGCAGCGGAGTGGGTAAAATGGCTGAACCGAACGATGCGAACCGTTGGCAGGATTTGGAGACAAATTATTGGCTTCATAGCCAAGCTCTTCAGATGGGGTTAAAGGGCCTCGGAAATCTGGTCCAAATCCCTCAGCGTTGATTCCTGGCAAATAGCCAGATGCGAGCGCAACGCGACCGCCACATGATCTTTTGCCCCATGTTCGGAGGCGAAAACGCTTGAATTTAAAAATGCTGACGTATTTCGCTAATCCTCAACGAATTTTGATTATTATCGGCGTATTAATTATGAAATTTGATTAAAAAACCTCGAGAACGGGAGATTGGGTGCCTTACAGAGCATTACGATCTGTAATCGCCGCGCGCCAAAAAGGTCGTTTTCGCCCCAAGAATATTTTGGGTTTACTAAAATATTTTACGTTTTTTTTCGTACGAAATCAATTTTCTGCGCTTCTCGGTAGTAACCCTTTCATTTTTTGACATGTAGGTTCAATCCCCGAGCACGCGAATTTTTACTTCGTTGCCCCTTTAAGTTTCGAAATTACCACAAAAACCGCCTATCCTTAGGGTATAATTTGTCGATCCATAAAACCACTTGCATGACCTCTGACCTCCCCCCGCAGGCGATTTAGGGCCACGGTCTTTATGCATAACCCCAGGCGTTGCGAGCTCTCGACGAAGTGTCATTGTCCTTCTACATCCCCCAAAAAAAATGATTCTAGCGCCTTGGACGACCTATCCTCCTCAATTTAAGCCTTTTTGCCAATTTGACGCACCCGGTATTCCGCTCCTCAATTCCCTGTCTGCTTCCACGTTTCCACTTCCCTTCGTGGCGCCTCAGAATATTTTCCGATGTCGTGTGTTCGATTGTTTTGTCGCCCCGTCGGGGGGTGAGCAATGTCAAGAATTCGTCCCGGCCGCCATCCGCGCCGTTGCGCCCGTGAGTGAGTCATCGGCCGTTTTTGAAATCGTCCCCAGCCCCCCGGTTGACTCATCGGAGGCCTGGAAATCCACCGTGATCCCCGCGCGTTATAAATAGCCCCACCGGATGGGGGCATCGTGAAATTAATTTTATGCCTATTTAATTGTAGAATTTTTCTTTTTATGGTTTTATAAAATTTTGGGGGTTTTATAATCGAACATATAAAACATATCTACGCAAATTTTCCCAAAATTTTTGGTAGCTTTGACTTGATTTGGTGCCATTTTTGACTCCTGAAAACCCTCTCAATATTTCGGTATTGAGAAGAAACCCACCTTTTTCATCTACTAACCCAACAAAAAAATATATGCCGTTTCAGCTGCCTGTTTTATTTCCTCCGAACGAACAGCAAAATCCAGCCCGATTCAAATTTCCTACCCCACTCTCGAGGGCACCAGTCCGTGTCAGTAATGACCGCCGAATGCATATTTGAGATTGCGAAACGCCCGTCCCCTCGCTACTGGCCACCCGGGGCCATCGTTGTTGAGAAAGAGGGCCCTGCTAGGGCCCACTGGGGCCCATTGGAAGGGTCAACGAGGGCCTACTGACCACTAACGGCACCCGGGGCGCCCGCCACTCAAATGGATTTCGCTTGATTCCCGGGTTTGGGCGCGGCCGCTTCAACTCGCTACGCCTCGACCCCCCGGAATTGGGTTCGTCAGCAGCGGGCTAGCTCGACGGCATGCTAGTACTTTTTGAGCTGGGTCGGGTAGTTCCGGTTAAAATTGAAGCTTAGGCGGCTGAGGCTCAGGTTAGGCTTAGGTTTAGGTTTAGGCTTAGACTTAGGCTTCGGTTTTAGTTTTAAATTTTTTCGATTATGCCTTGCGAACCCCTTTAACGCTTAGCCAACCGACTCAAAATATTGTCACTTCCCCCGAGAGAATTTTCCTTTGCCGAGCGATTTTGCAAATATAAAAATGACTAATTCGTCATCTGTTATTTCCATCACCCGTCCACTCGTCTTTGTTTTTACACATGCCGCGAGGATACATTGACCCCAACGGTATAGTGCCCCCAGGCAAATTGAGAGGAATAGACACCGGCAATAATTGTGGAAAAGCCGCAGTCACGGGTTCTTTTTTGCTTTGCTTGAAAACATGGATGGGGGCGATGAGACCGGCGGCGACGTATATCCCTACACGACCACTGCATCATCCATGGGCTCGCTGCTAACTGTATTCCTTGATTATGTCCCCGAGCAGTTTTACTACTTTAATCGCCCGCAAGTGGAAGCTGCGCCGGATCCGTTTGAGTCGCAAACCGAGAAGACCGCTGAAGAACATCAAAAAGCTGCCATCAAACCGGCGGTGCAGCCAAAAGCTTCAGAAGCTTCAGCTAAAGCGCAAAAGCCATCCACTGGAGAAGCTTCAAGACCGCTAGAACCTCAAGCACAGCAACAACAAGAAATGGAAGCATCGAAACCGGAAGATTCTAAAACACGGCATAAGCCACAAGAAAACCGAGCTTCAAGAGCTCAGCCCACTCAAGCACAGCCAGAAGAACCTGAAAAAGTGGCCGGAAGTACCTCGCGCCCAAGCGTCAGGCCTGTAGCGCAAGCTCCAGAACCAAGTGCCCCGAAAAACTTTATCCCAGAAGATCCACACCTTCCGGAATCGCAGAACTTCATCCAAAAGGGTCTGAAGAAGAAGTATAGAGGTAAGGCAGGCTTGGGCTTAGGTTAGGCTTAGGGTTAGGCTTAGGGGTAGGGCTCCGGCTTGAAGCTTTTTCAGCTATTCCTTAGAACTACTGCTTTGCATCGCTTCCAAGTACTATTTTTTTGCACCAGCAGTTACCCAACTGTCTGGCCACTGTCCTCGCCTGTCCATTACGATCCCCAACAAACAGCCTGTGAGGCGAGGAGCGTCCAGCCGGCCCGGGGCCATTGCTGACCCCTAGTGTCCTTTTTGGGGGGTTGCGCAAGGTGGTTTCTTCTCGATCTTTCCTCTTCCTCCTCTTCCTACTCGTCCCTCTCGATCTCTATGCACATGCATATGGTGCCCGTCGAGCCCCCCGGGGGGTAGTGTGGCCCCACCCATTCGGGGGGTCGGGAGGCAGGGCGTATTCAAATTTTTGCCCGGGTCCGCCCTTTCGGGAGTGGGGGTTTAGGTCCCATTTCTCGTTTTTTTGCAACTTTTTATGCCTGGGGCGATAGGTATCTAAAAGTCTGAGATTGGGCTTGATTTTTAATGCCCCGGAACAAATCTGAATACTTTTTTTAAGAAATTTGAAGGGTTTTCAGTTTTGGCTAAGGGCATTTTTGGTGCTTTTTGTCGCTTTTAGTACTTAAGCGGGATAAGATATCGAGAGGAGGATATACTATGATCTTGCATGCTTTAAATTTGTTCAAGTCTGTTTTTTATAACGTTGAAATAGTTTTTAGAGCTTTTGAAACGGAAAATGACGTTAATTTTATCTCTATCTCTCTCTGTCTCTCCCTCTATCCCTCTCTTCCTCTGGTTCTCTCTCGCTCGCGCTGTTTCATCTGAAACCAGCGCTTTGACATTGCGAAAGATTCCCTTTTGTACTTGTACTTTTGCTAAACATCCCATTTCAACAACCCTTGAATTAGCCATAATGGTATCCCCGTCTCATTTGCCCAATTTCCCTACTTCGAATCCCTTTAGGGGGAACATACCGGCCGGCGCGCAGACAGTCTAGAGACACCCCCCTGTGGCGCATTCAAATTTTTAGGCGGCGCGCCCGCCTCCTCCAGGCCGTCGGCCCCCTGGGCGAGAGTCGGTGGTTGGCGGGTGGGTGTTCCGGGGGCGTGGCTGGCCAATGGCTACCTTCTGCCCATATAAGGCATTGGGTATCGGGTGGAGGGGGCAGATATATGAGGGGACGCTCTTGCACACATACACAAACGCATAGACACACACAGACAGACATACACACACCACCCAGCATACACGCATCCATCCCCCACCCCCTGGCGCTGGCTGCGACCAACCCCCGCCGGCCTGCTCGCGGCCTTTCAGTCATTTTCGAATCGTCGTCGTCTCCGGCCTTCGCCGGTCTCCACCTCCTTTCCCACCATTCGGGCTCCTCCTCCCCTGGCTGCGTCTCTGCTGGCCCGCCCCAAAAAAGGGGCTTTCGGCGGGAAAGCAACCCCGGCCACTTCTTCTCCAGCCCTTACCACGTCTTGTAGAGGGGACTGGGGGCTCTTTTTTCGGGCCTCGCTATTCTGATTTTCTCTTAGAGACTGTTTTTGTGGTTACTGTATCTGGAGTGTGTAATTTAAGATAAAGACTGATTTTCCGGAGATCTACAGATTTCCGGTGGCATCTACAGTTCCCGAGTTCGAAATCGCTTTCCTGACTAGCAGTAGCCAATCATACGAATTGCAACTATCAGGGCTGTTTTTAGTATTCAGGCGCACTAAAATTTAGATACCACTCAAACCCTCACATTTTTAAAGGGACAATGCCATAAAAATTGTTTCCTTTTCCCTTGTTTTGCCAATAACCGAATTACCGTAGACTGTCTCACTTGCCGTGAATTCATTCCTGGATACCAAATTTTCTTCCCGATTTCCTCCACCTCTCTGACTCTCTTTCCCTTACGCACTATTTCCCCCTTTCAACAAACCCTTACCGTACCCTTTCAGACCTTCCAGACAACATGTGCGACGACGAGGTTGCTGCTCTTGTGGTGGACAATGGCTCCGGCATGTGCAAGGTGGGAATTTTTTTGCATATTCTTACTAGATTTTTTCTTATCAGTCTCTCAGTCTGACAGGCAAAATTGAAAACATTAGCAAATAGAACACAGCAGCTGATCGGGGGGTTATCAGCACCACTGACTCATCGTGTTATCACTATCTCACCCCAATTTGGGAGCCGGTGGTTGCCGGGAGTCGGCGTGTGTAAAATGGACAAAGGGGGAATTGGGCATTGCGAAATTCTACTCGGACAGCATGTAGTGAGTCATCGTGTTTGGGATTCCGTCTGGATCATTTTTGCCGGCGAGCCCCTGGGTTAATAACACCATAAGATGATTCAGCGATTAAATATTAGGAAATGTTTAATGTGGTTTAATTGTTAAAGTTTCGATCACTAAGGTTTAAGGTACTCCAGGATATCGCGAACTGATAGACTTTCACAAATTTCGATCAAAATTTGAGGTCTGAACTTTTCTGTATAAACCTTTAGCGTTCATTAATGTATTGAGGATGAGCTATTTTAAAGGGACTAAGAAGCCAGGAATCGTCAGCTTCTGATGAAACTGCTTTCCAAAGCGAGTAATAGTAGATTTCATTCGAATAACAATCAATGATTTAGCACGTTTTCTAGTTTTTCGTTCTTCTCCCCGTTTTTTTTGCTTCGGAATGGCGTGGTTTCGGTCTGGGGCAGCACCGATTCCCATCGCCCCCCTCTCAATATTCATATCAGCCCCCTCCGCCCGGGGACTATCGAACAGTCCCCGAAGGCGAAGAGGAGCACGAGGATGGGGAGGAGGAGGACAGAGTCACCGAGTGACCACCGATAGTGTATAGATTCGAGTCGTCGGGGGGTCAGCGAACGGACACCTCCACAACCACCACCACTACCACCACTGACCCACTTTCCCTCCTCCTCACTCGCTGCAGGCAACGCGCCGAGCGCCCCGAAAGAACGCGCTATGGGACCGCCGCTGAGGGAGGACAACCCTTTTTCCTATCAACAATGCACATCGATCAGCAGCGGTTTTTTGGCCCCGGGTCGGGGTTCGGTGTCGTGGTTCCTGTCCCCCATTGACCTAAAAATTGATTTGACACTTTGGGGGACCGCTGTAGATCCGGCGCAGGTGGTTTGGTCAGCTGGAAGTGAGCAGGGGACGGGGTGGAATTACAATGTGTTTCCGGTGAGAAGCGCCACACGTCTTAAGCCTAAGCCTAAGCCTAACCTAGCCTAAGCCTAAAGATAGCTTAAAGCTACACGTAAAGACTCGGTTAAACCTAGCAGGTTTTTGCTTGTAACAGGGATGTGTGGATTGTTAGGCTTAATTAACCAAGTCTTGACGCCAAGCTTTAAAAAGGCTTTGGCTTGGTCGTAGCTTAAGCCCTCGCCTTGAGCTGAACAAGAGCGTAAACCCAAGTGTAAGACGAAGCGTAAGCCCAAGCCTAAGCATGAGCCTTAAAAAAACTCTTTCTCACCCCGAAACAATCGACTTCCGGTGTCATCTGATGGCTCAAGCCTCCGAGGGCCCAACGCCTCAGGGCACTGACCGGCACCTTTTTTTGGGGCCCAGCCAAAAAACGGACCCTTTAGGAGGCGCGAGGCCACGCCTTTCATGCCCCCGGGGCACACTGACCACAACCCCCCCTCTTAGCCAAAATATGCCTCCTCGTCCCCTCCTTTGGTAGTAGTTGTGATGGTGTGGTCAGGGAGGGTGGTGCTGTAGGGGGGTGCGGGCGCGCAAATACAGCACAAATATTTGAATTGTCGCGGTGCCATGACTAAGTACTTCGTGGCGGCCCCGGCGCTCGCGCTAGGTGAGGTGGGGGCTAAAAAGATTTTGGACACGCGTCCAGCCCGGGCCTCGAACCCAGGCGATAACAATACGGGGGGATTCAGGGGTTAGGGTCGGCGTTAAGGAATCTGGGGCTATTCAGCGAGATGTTGATGGAATTGTTGCACGATTTGGGTGCAGAATTGGAAAGGTCAAGGTGTCAGTGGGAGGGACTAACGGACTTGAAAAGGAGAAGTAAAATCGCTTCCGGTTACGGTAATTCGGGAGAAAGCTTTAAGGTGATCTGTACGTGTGACACCACCTAACCAAACGCCCATAACTAATTCCCTTACCCTTCAATTTCCAGGCCGGTTTCGCCGGAGATGACGCCCCGCGTGCCGTGTTCCCCTCCATCGTCGGACGTCCCCGCCATCAGGGTGTCATGGTCGGCATGGGCCAGAAGGACTCGTACGTCGGAGACGAGGCCCAGTCGAAGAGGGGTATCCTCACCCTCAAGTACCCCATCGAGCACGGTTCGTTTTTATTACGCTATCACACCGACGAGTCCAAGGAGTTCATTCTAACCCAAATTTTCAGGAATCGTCACCAACTGGGATGACATGGAGAAGATCTGGCATCACACCTTCTACAACGAGCTCCGCGTCGCCCCCGAGGAGCACCCGGTCCTCCTCACTGAGGCCCCGCTCAACCCCAAGGCCAACAGGGAGAAGATGACCCAGATCATGTTCGAGACATTCAACTCCCCCGCCATGTACGTCGCCATCCAGGCCGTGCTCTCCCTCTACGCTTCCGGACGTACCACCGGTAAGTTGTACCCTAATTGAGTGAACCACCAAATTCAAGCGTTTTCAACCCCTTCTCCTTGCAGGTATCGTGCTCGACTCCGGAGATGGTGTCTCTCACACCGTGCCGATCTACGAGGGATACGCCCTGCCCCACGCCATCCTCCGTCTCGACTTGGCTGGCCGTGACCTCACCGATTACTTGATGAAGATCCTCACCGAGCGCGGATACTCCTTCACCACCACCGCTGAGCGTGAAATCGTCCGCGACATCAAGGAGAAGCTGTGCTACGTTGCCCTCGACTTCGAGCAGGAGATGGCCACCGCCGCCGCCTCGTCCTCCCTCGAGAAGTCGTACGAGCTCCCCGACGGACAGGTCATCACTGTTGGAAACGAGCGTTTCCGCTGCCCCGAGGCTCTCTTCCAGGTGAAACTTTGTTAATTTTATAAAGTGGTTATAAGTCTAAGCCCAAACCCAAGCCTAATCTAGGCATTTCCAGAGCCGGAAACTTTCGCCTATATTATTTTTTTCGTTAAGGTAGGCGCATACTTGGCGCGAACTTTCCCGCATCTCACGCTCAAATCTCGCCTCCACATCCGGCGCTCATCCGCTCCACAAAAGAGCAGAGCAATCCACAAATTCCACAAATTATCCCCATAGCTCGAGCGCGCCTAGACGACACCTCCTCAGAGCGAGTGTTGCATATTCGCGCGGTATATGAGAAGGGTAGGGGTTAGGAATGCGCCCATCTGTCACATCGCGCACGCGGAAAGGGGTACGCGACGTTCCTTGTTGAAAGATCCCCTGGGGGGTAGTGGACGGACAGACAGACTAGAGGAGAAGACGACAGAAGGCCCGAACGGGGTGTTTATCGCGGCTAATATCTGACCTCCACAGATCCCATCAATGCCAATTGAATGCTATAAGGAAGGGGGGAGAGCGACCTCGAATGGGATACCACAAGGGGAACGGGGACATCCTAACGTCTTGAGGGGGGTTGTAAATATGTTAACAGGGTGGTTAGAAAAACCCGACTATAAGATGCAACTTCTATCTTTCATTTTCAGCCGTCGTTCCTCGGCATGGAGTCCGCCGGAATCCACGAGACGTCGTACAACTCGATCATGAAGTGCGACATTGACATCAGGAAGGACCTGTACGCCAACACTGTCCTCTCGGGAGGAACCACCATGTACCCCGGAATCGCCGACCGCATGCAGAAGGAGATCACCGCCCTGGCCCCAAGGTAAGCAACTTGAACCAACACTAGATACCGGATTAACCTGATATCTAGCCTAAGCCTAGACCTATCTGAAAACTACAAACCTAATCCACTCCTTTTCAGCACGATGAAGATCAAGATCATCGCGCCTCCAGAGCGTAAATACTCCGTCTGGATCGGAGGATCCATCCTCGCCTCGCTGTCCACTTTCCAACAGATGTGGATCTCGAAGCAAGAGTACGACGAGTCGGGCCCGTCCATCGTCCACCGCAAGTGCTTCTAAGCTCAAGAAGCCCCGTCAGAGCCGCTCCCCAATCGTGTCCGAAGCTTTCCCCCACCCCAAGTGCATTCCTCGCCCCCACTTTTCTCGCCACAAAGTGTTCAGCCCCCCTCTAACAATCTCACCCAACCCATTCCATTCCGCTTCCCGCATCTCTTGGTTTGCCACAAAAATACCCCAAAATCGGTCATAATAGCCGGCAGTCGGGGTGGTGTGTTGAATTTCCTGCAAATCGCAGAATTCAACAGCCCCCGGCTATCCCCACAAAACACACAGCGCCTTCTCCTTGTTGTAACGGGGGTTCAGCGGGGAAGGGTACTGTAGCCGGGTCACCGGTTAGCACGTCTCGACCACGCTAGATCCCCCGCCACTTCTTCTACGTGTGCTATCCTCACCCCCGCGGCGGTCACTTTTGTTGTTATCGCCCCGCCTAGGCCACCGTTAACGTTATCAAAAAAAAAACAGAATTTCTACCCGCGTTGTGAGCCGCCCCCACTCTCTCTCCTTTTTTTTTGTCTCCCTCGCTCTTCTACCAACAAACGGCACAAGTTTTTGATATGTACTTTTGTTTATGGAAGAAAATAAATTATTCGATAATTTAGAATTGAGAGAACTCAAAAGAAAGACACAAAAGATATAAAAGCAAACACTTCAAGAAATCATCTTTCATCGCTTCGAGAAAATTGGCTACCTATTATAAAAAAATATTAACTCTATGAATAGTTACGAAATTTTCAAGCACAAAAAGAACTACTGCTTGGCTTGGAAAAGAGAATAAACTACTTAGTGACGCACTTACTTTGCTTGTTAGCTGTATGCAATCTAGGTGATACGAGTTGATACTCTCGAACTTAGCTCAAGCCGCTTCATCTCATATCACAAAGCTTTTAAACCTTCAAACGTATATAGTTGGAATTTTTGTCGATTTTTGCAGTTTTTTGAAGCTGTTCTCGATGCGCTTCAGCATCAAACATCTCGATTTCCTGGAAACTGGTTCAAAAGCACATCATATTGGCTTGGGTCAAGATGAATCGACCCCTCCAAAGCCTGGGCCGGAAGACCCGAGAAGAGACACAGCAAATGCGTAGCGTCAACATGATGATTCGACGGGGTGTTGTTAGAAGAAATGATAGCCTGGGCACCGGGGTCGGCCGGGGTGTCAATTCTTGTGTGTGATGACACTTTCGAGAAGAGATGTCAAAAAGAAAATGGATTTTCGTGTAACTAAGAAGGTCTATTCTTTTTTTTCTTGATGACCTGTAATGATGCAAACGTCATTACCGTATGCGCTGGGTCAATCAGCCAATTTTTCTTCTGTTTGAGAAATTCCTATTCAAGCTTGATAACGTTAAATTAAGCTTTTTTCAACAACAGCAGTAAAGCGGGCGTAACACGCTGCAAATCAAGCAAACTAGCGGAGAAAATTTCGGAATAGCAGCACGGTAACTACAGAGCAATATCTCGCCGCAACCTGACCACTTTAAATCCCGACTTTTCCAAATTCACTTGATTTTCCTGCTTTTTCCTGATGATAAACTCGTCGAAATGCTTTCCCAGTCACATTAAATGCATCAATTTTTATCTTTTTGTAACTTGAACGTGGACTACACGGCACTACCCTGCACACCGCTTCCCCATGCTCTCCCGACAGCCGCCACGTCGGGGAATTTTTCGGGCCGTGGGCTGACCCCGTGGGGCGTAACTTCCAAGGCGGTTTTTCGTCTATGCAATAAATTTATTGGAAATAAAGTATTATTATTTCTTGCAAATAATTTGTTTAAGGTATGCGGACCGTGGGGTCGATATGTGCCCTCCTACTGCTGGGGGTCGCACGGGTCGAGGCGAACCTTTTAATGAAAGGTATCGCCTCGGAGGTGATCGAATTGAATAAGGATCAGGTAGGAAAATGGCTAGAAACGTGATAATCAGACATCTTTAGTATCAATTGGTTGGTTTCCCACAATCGGCGCTGAATCAGACAGAGTTGGAGCTGAGTTTTGATTGCCCGAATGAGCTGGATTTGGAGTTTACGGTAAGTTATTGTATACAAATCAGTAATATGACGTAATTAATTCATCCTAGCTAAAATTTATCAAAATACACCTTGTAAAATTATAACCTTGCAGGTCCAATTCGCGATCCGTAGCTCGCCATGCGACAAAGAATTCTTCAATGTCCGCAACGCTGCCGTGCTACGGGATTTACTCGTAAGAAAATCACAACCAAACAAAACTCCTGATTATTTCAGCAATTCTACTTTGACTCGGCCAACAAAATCCCACAAGAGTTTGACTACAAACAAATTGTAAGATTTAGTTCTAGGCTGAGACAAAAGACAATCTAGGTATTCTACAAATCGCCGGAAAAGGTCTTCAACTGCAAGGATTCGCATGGGCGCATCATCTTTGAGCCCGAGAAGATCGGAGTGCCGTCGGAGATGAAACCGGAAACCGTTGTCGGTGTTGTGCCTTATGTAAGTAGTACAACGATGTTGAAAAAAGAGTTTTAGGCGAATCCTACTGGCGAGAAGGTGAAACGGGATACGTATTCTGGGTTGAATGGAAATTCTGTTGATGGTGGTACCTCGAATTCGTTGAGGTAAGTCTGGGTGATAATTTTTACACTTTATTCGTTAACGGCAAATTTTTTATTAAATTTTAATATCGCTAAAGCTCACGTTAAGCCATATCTTTGTGCTTCGTGAGCGTCTCTAGACGTATGCGTCTCTCTCTCTCTCTCTCTCTCTCTCTCTCTCTCTCTCTCTCCCGGAATCGCTATACGGTAGTAGGTTAGCATACAGATACCTTAAAATTCGCTTCAAACTAGGCATTTCAGCACATGGCATCCATCTGTAAAGCTCCCAATCGACGCCATCTACTTTGCCATTGTTCGTCTCCAGATGACGTCCAAGTCGACAACTTCCGGAAACGTTACGGTAAGTTTTGAATTGAAAAAGAAAATGAATTTTGCAGGTCATCACGAAATGGCGCGGACCTTATGGCTTCCTGTCGGCCATCGACTATCCCCTCTTCGGCTTCTATGGGTTCATGTGCTTCTTCTATGGGATCCTCTCGATTGTCTGGCTGATCCTCTGCATCCGTCACTACAAGGACATTCTGAAAATCCAGTACTGGATTGGTAGGTAGCTCCACGATTATACCATGCTTATCACATTTTGTAGGCGGTGTTATCGTCCTTGGTATGATCGAGAAAGCGTTCTTCTATTCGGAGTACGCGACGATGAACAATTCTGGGGAAAGTGTAGATGGTGTTATACAGGTCTGCTAAAATTTTAAGGCTAACAATAAGGCCGTCCTGTAGCTTGCCGAGCTTGTCTCCTGCCTGAAACGCACGATGTCGCGGGTGTTGATTATCATCGTCTCCGTTGGGTACGGTGTCGTGAAGCCGAGGCTTGGTCAAACGTTTAGTCAGGTGGGTTCCTAAGCAAAAATGCTAAATTTGTTTAGGTAGCTGGAGTGGGTTTTGTGTACTTTGTCTTCTGTGCCATCGAGGGATTGGCTCGAGTCTCGAAGGTAGCAAAATCCTTTTATTTTCAAGTTTCTTGTGTCTTAGAATCATGTAGAAGCCGCGAAACAAAAGCAATTCGCTGCTCTGCCGCTCGTCATTGTCGAGATGGTCATCTTCTACTGGATCTTTACCTCACTGACCGGGACGATGCGGCAGCTCAAGCTGAGGCGGAATGAGGCAGGTTAAAAACCCCTGGAGAATATTTCAAATCAGGTCAAACTATCGGTCTACCGTCACTTCATGAACACGCTGTGCTTTGCCGTGCTCGCCTCGGTGATCTTCATGTTTTGGTCGCTGTTCTACCACATTTTCCCGACTTGTCTGATGGACTGGAAGGAGCTGTAGGTGTCTGAAAATGGCGATGATCGATTATTTGTTTCAGCTGGGTCGACACGGCCTTCTGGCACGTGCTCTTCTGCTCGATTCTTGTGGTGATCGTCATCTTGTGGCGGCCGTCGCAGAACAATCAGCGCTACGCCTTCACCCCTCTGCTTGACGACTCGGAAGACGACAATGACGGTGCCTTTTTGTGGTATTTGCACAGTTGTTTGAGCCGGAATTTTTGGGCGAGGAAGCTTCCAAATTCCGGAACCTGAGATTTACAGCTTCTGGCATTAGTTCTAAAATTGTCTAAGTACTGTTAATTTTAGACGAGCTGTTCTCGAACTCGCAAGTGATGGAAGCTGTAAAGGAGCGGAATACAGATGACGTGAAAGAGAGGAGAGAACAGAGAGAGCAACGAGATCGGGATAACCGTTTGGAGGTAGGCTTCACGTCGTTCGGGTCTCCCTAAAATACCTTAAATTTCTAGAAATTGTCAGCGCCCATAAATTTTATATAAACAGCCTGGAAGTACCCTAGTTTAGAATTTTAGCCATAATGCCGACAGAAATAATCCCGACACGCAAAATCCCGACATAATCACTATGCTAATTTGAACACCACATCCTTTTGAATCGTTATTACGCACCTAAGGGTTTTCGATATCGGCATTTTTTTGCATTCCGCGATTTTGACTGCCGGGATTTTTGCTTGTCGGGATTTTTGTTGTCGGGATTTTAATTTAACCTAAATGACATTTTTGCTTTAGGACAGTATTACCACTGCCATTACAGGAAGAGCTCCGCTGGATTGAGAACAACATCCCGAGTAGCATAGCTGAGCAGCTGCTCATGGATGACGATGAGGATCAAGAAGCCCGGGACCTAGAGCGTAACAAAATGCTTTAAAAATAGCCCTTTTCAGGCCTTACACGCCTCAAAATACTTTTTAGCAACTTTTTTTAACCTAGTTTCCTTACTGTTATGTACCTATCCCAGTAAAAAATTAATTTCTTTAATGTCCGCTTTTTCGCTGTTTTCAAAATTTTCATGACGAGGTATCTTCTTTTCCAATTCATGTCAAGCCCCCGAATCCGTTGCCTACCTGGCTGCAATCTTGTCCGATATCATCACGGTTTACGCCTCAATGAAAGCTTTGTCCCCCTACCGCCCATTCCTAGTTCATTCAAATTACCAAATTATTTTATTGCATAACGCAAAATACACTTTTACTTTTCCTGTCAAATATTGAATTCCTGTGTGTCGCAATGTGATCGAATCTTTGCGCCGAATCGGCAGCCAGACGTGTTCGTGTGTCGAGTATAAAGCTAAAAAAGGCTCCGTGAAGTGTATTTATGCAAATTGATAGCGGAGGTTCGCAGGATAGAGTGGATGTTTTGCTCGGGGAAGGAGAATTTGGAACGTTGTTCCAGGTTGTGGACTTGTTTAGGATTAGGTTTAGGCTTGGTTTAGTCTTAGGCTTAGGTATAGGAAAGGCTTAGGTTTAGGCTTAGGTAGGCTAGGCTAGGCAGGCTAGGCTAGGATTGGGTCAAGCATACATCCTACTATCCTACTATATATAAAAAAATAGGTGTGTGTTGGGTGTGTGTGTGTGTGTGTGTGTGTGCCGCTTTGCATCCACTTCCGTCTGTCTGTCCGGAGGATGTCTTGATAGAGGATGGATTTTAAAGTACGTATGATACGTCATTAGCTGCGCAATGGTCTTGGGATGACTGCACACCTAACAGATTTTACAAAATTATCGATTTCGACATTAAATTTAAGTTGTAAAGCTTCTTTGTTAAAAACAATTAGATAGACCGGAAGTGGGGACGCGACTATACAGGGTGTTCCAAAAGTTTGGCAAATGTTTTTGGTCGTAAAATGGCTCAGAAATGTCGGATGCCAATGAAACTGTTGTACCTTATTGTTACGTCCTGTTCAATGTACAAAAATAATTTTGAAAAAATATCACTTTTGAATTTGGTAGGGGGTATAATTCTCCGATTCAAAATGGCCCGGCACGGCCCCTTTGCGTGACATATCCCTCCTGAGGCCTTCCAGCCATGCACCGATTCGTATCATATTTGATAACGGGTAGTCCGACGCTCCACCTACGTTATCCATAGTCAGAAAAACTTATTACCACGGATGCGCAAGTCACGCGCGTTTAATTTCTCGGCAAAACGCCTTCGCCCAAAGCCGGTTTTGCATTTTTGCTTCGACAATGCCAAATTGGTATGCATGAGGGCCGGGCCGCTTACATAAGCCTAGGCAACACAATGGGCTAGTATAACCATAAAAACACCACTTAAAAATTTCCAATTGTTTATCTGGATATTTTTAAATAGCCAAGCATTTGATAGGCGCCGGCGCTCGAATTATCCACTTGGCCACGATCTCATGTTTGGGAAAAATTATTTGCTGTGTTGGCATGCTGGGGGTTGTCCCCATTGCCTGATCCATGGGTCGCAGCGTGACCCAAGAACTTTTCGATTCTGAATTGAAATCGCGGTGAAATTACTTGAATACAACAGAGCGTTAGCAAAAACGGATTGGAAACCGATACCTTGCTCGATCATTTTCTCGATCCAACTAGCTTTTGGCTAATTCGTTACATTACCGTTAACCTAACATGACAAATAACCCAAAAGGTGACAGGATCGCGGCGTGCAAGCCATAGCATGCCAGAACGGAACACCCTGTATAAAGCGGCGAGGTGGTTTTCCTGTTTGCCCGCTGAGGTATTAGGACAAGTTGCTAGGTTAAGCTTAAAATAAGGTCAGACGGGCTTAGGGTTAAAAGTCGCGATGCGGCTTTCCCAAACCTTTCAATATTAAAAGTATTATCCAAAGTTTAGAACCAGTTTTAAATCTGCCCCAAATTTTTCGCTTGTTAGTCATAGATTCGAGCCGAAAATGCCGACAATCCGAGACACCGACAATCCTACCGACAAAAATAGTCCCGACGTATCTTTGACACTAGTTTGGGTCCCGCTTTCTTTTCAAGAGCAATTTTGCATGCCAGGATTCGTTGTCGGTATTTTAACCGTCGGCATTTTTACATTTTCCCGCTGGCCATACTGCAACCGATGGTTCAATCAAAGACCGATCCTATTGGCGGCCCTATCTAAGAGGCTACCTGTCCATTTTTTCCGCTCCCATCCAAAGGCCCATCGATGAGAGCCGTATGGGAATGTTCGGGGGGATAAGCCAAAATCCCCGGGACGAACGACTGTGTGCCCGAGTGGGGGGGTGGAGGTGTTGCCGAATTCATTTGGCCCCCCATCCGGGCCCCTATCCTGCTTGGCACTTACCCCAAAATGCAATTATTTAGGGCGTCCGCCGCCCCCCTGGCCCGTACCCCCTGAAAACCTCACCCCTGGATTTTTTTGTGTCGTCGCACTTTCCACCTCCAGAGTGTCACCCTCTGTGTGTGACCCATTCAACCGCAGTTATTTTGCCTTTTGCCAATTTCCGCTTTGGCCGGGACAGGAAGAAGGCGGAGGGCGCGTAAATGTGCTTTGGGGAAAAGGGCAACATTGTGGTGTGAATTCGTGAAATTTGCGGTATTTTGGTGACTTATATGTTTTGTAAAAACGTAGCCCAGGTGCGCTCGTGCAAAGCAGCGACGGCTTCCAGGCTGTAGGGGTTTGCTTAGGCATAGTCGTAGGCTTCGCTTAGTTAGGCTGTGGCTTCATAAAAAGTATTTTCCGGAACGTTTTGACCAAATGACTTCCAGTTCCAATTTTAAAGGAACAGGAAAAGTATATTTCGACAAAATACAAAAGCCAGAACGGTTGTTACCAGCCCTGAAAAGCCATACCTTCACAATCCATCTTGTCAAGCGCTTGCTCTTCATCATCCTAAGTCTGGCCGTTATAGGGCGCAAAAGGGCAACCGCGGTAAATATTGCATCCTTGATGAACCGGGGCGGGCCCTCTTTTCAAAAACTTTCTAAGTGCCCTCCCCGTGGGCCCTTAGGTGCTTCAGGGCGTAATTATTGGCAAAGAGGCCAGTTTTGGGAACATTGAAATGGGGGGTAGGACATCCTTGCTTAGGGCCATTGCTTAAGGCCCAGTTCGGGGTGAGGGGGCCCGCCCCTTTCTCCAGCCATTCTTCTGGTGGAGGGTGCGCCCCTTCTGCAAGCGTTTTTGCTGGTTTTAGACGTTTTCGACGTTTTCGATACATTTTCGATACCGTTTCGATATCTTTTCTATTCGCCGACACTTTTTCGGTACACTCGATACGTTTTCTCTCCATTTAGTTGCCTTATATGCGCCTTGCCAGATTTTCTTTACCTTTTCGATACCTTTCCAACACGTTTTTGATACGGTTTTGAGATCAGGATTTCTGGCTTTCGCCTACGATGACGCCAATTGATACGAAAAGCACTAGTTTCTTGTAGAATAACCTGTCTAATTTGTTACAGCCATTTTCCAAAGCCGAATCTGACAAGTAAATACACAATACCATTATGCTACGCGCAATAATTTTTGACTAGCCAATCGGCAAAATTCGCGCCGGTTTTTGTTAGCATCGCGATAATTTCCCGAAGAAGTGGTGCTTGAAGAAAAGTTAAGCGGAATTGCACGTCGTTTAGGGAAAATTAAGTATAGCCAAAAACGCACCTGAAAAGACCTAAAATTAACGTTTGGCGAGGCCCAAATAACATAAACTTGATTAGGTAGTAAATCTAGATTGACATAAATTTCCCTGAAACCTCGACCTGAGATGAATAATTCCGATGTTTGTTCTGCGAGACCTTGAAAAAATCTTTCTACATGCTAAACTTTAGATGCTTTTAAGGGCTATACTATGTGTCTTAACAAATTCTAGGCCTTCCCTTTCGTTACTTTGTTTTTCTAGCCAAAAATAAAGTATCAGAATCAAACTCACTTGAACGACTACATGACTCACGCGCTCAGCTGAGGGTCGACCCGGGGTGTTCCCCAGACAATCTTCTCGCCCCTCTTGTTCGTCTATTCTAGGTCGTGTTTTTCGTTTTTCTTTTTGGGTCCCAGTTGAAGAGTCCATTTGTGGGTGCAACCCTCAAATCGACCTCCTGGGTGGGGGGGGAAGAGGATGGGCATCCCCCTCATTCCCAGCCGATATCTAGCACCACCTGCATATGAACACACGGCCCGCCGGCACTAAATTAGGTCCCAGGGCAAGGATTTGCGATTTGATGTGGTGTATTTTGATTTGATGGGAGGGAAAAAGACATGAGAACAGCCGTTTTCAAGCTTGGAGACGTCATTTTCTGCGATGAATTTGTTGCCGCATTGTAAAAAGTTCTAAAATTTTTTTCTAAAATCATAGATTGATCGCTTCGACTTACATGTAGAGGTTGGGGGGGGGGGGGGGGGGACCCAATGGCCCAAAATTGGTGGAAAAATCAAATAAAATACGGGGAACACGATGCGATAAAAATTAGCTGCCAATGGGCACTTTTGTTTAATAAACTTCCCATTTTTATGCAAAATGAAGCCTTTTGCTTTATCGGGCCTTCCGGCTTGGAAAAAATGTTTTGATGGGGTTTTATAGCAGCCACGGGCCCGACGCCTTCCACACCCGGAAAAAATTTGATCTGGAAAATTTTTCACGAAAATTTTGACCACCGGGCTTCAAATCGGAGCCGGAAATATTTCAGATTGCCTAAATAACTCTATTTTTACAAAGACGAAAAATAATATTTATTAACTATTATTTGGTTGGTTTGTTCCCACTTCCAAAAGCCCACTTTTGCCCAGACTTTTCTGTGACCCCACAACCTCTACATATTAGACACAAACTAAGCTTAAACTCAAGCCTAAGCCGAAGCCTACGTCTAAGCCTATTCTGAGGCCAGTTCTCCGAATAATACAGTCGATTTAATGACGTTGCTAGAATTCAAAATTGCTTTTGCCGATTTTCGTCTTCCGTTGAAATTTTTGAGCGTGAACTCTTACCTTGCAAAACGCCCCATTTTTTGCGATTAGTTTTTGAGCCCCAGTCGGCCTTTGTATAGTCTTATTCGACCCTACGCTTCAGGACGGCTCTGTTGAAAAAGGTTAAGAATATTTTGAGCCGATGCTTCCCTCTTTGTGCCGTTTTAGATGAAACCTTTTTGTTCAAGCGTGAAATCTGGCGCCAAATTACTGCGCCTGGAGTTTAGTGATTTTTCATAATGCCTGAATTATGACCAGATTATGACCAGACCATTATGAATTACTACCTTCGCTAACCTTGCTGATTTCAAAATGCAGCCAGTAACAATTGGAACTTCTTCTTGTTAATTCAGAATGCCGGAACTATGATCGGCTTCCTTACCCATTCTCCGACAGTTTGATCGTCTCGATTTTGTCTTGGTTAAACTTGTACTGCCTATACTCTATTGACTCACAACGCACACTCTCAGTATTCAGACTAAAAATATTTTCGTAGGCCATCCGGCAGAACGGGACCCGCCCAATTCGATGCCCTAAATGAAATGCCCGTTCCCGCAGATTTCTTTCCGGTGCCCCCGAAACCTTGATTACGCAAATACTTTCGGATATTGCGATGCATCGTAGTCGAGCGGACACAATTTTGAAGGTCTTTCAAACCTACTGGCACTCGCAATAATATTTTTCAACCGTTTTGGGCCTTAGTATAATTAGGATACCTAAAGAAACGATGGCTTTGGGAACGCCTTCAGAAGCCTGGCTTGTCACATTGCAAAAAACAACCCCTCTAAGAATTTCCTTGAAATGGATCGCTTATTCGGCCTTCTTACTCCCTCACACCGGGTCCCCCCTACAAACGAATCGGCATCAAATTTCCACAACGAGTCGCCGTCGTCATTGTGCTATTCGGCAATTTTTTCGGGTCTTATTTCCAGTCCCTTGAAGGTTTTTCAGAACGTTTGAATGTGTTTTTAAGAATGGACTACAACGAAACGATTGACGAGATAGTTGAAGGTTGCGACGTCGAGCCGAATCCTTATCTGAGGTTATGTATGTTCAGGTGAGTGTTTTTTTGAGGTTTCTTCAAAAGGTGTTTTAGGCTTAGGCTTAGGCTTCAGCTTAGGCTTGGGCTTCGACTCCGGCATAGGCTTAGGCTTTGGTTTCGGCTTCGGTTTCGGTTTAGGCTGCGGCTTGGCGTTGGCTGCGGCTTAGGCTCGGGCTTAGGCTTAGCATCGAGCTCAGGCTCAGGCATGGCTTAATTATGCTTGGGCTTAGGCTTGCCTTAGGGTTATACTTAGACTTAGGATTAGGCGTAAGCTTAGGCTTGAGGCTATGAAATATAGCCGAATTTTCCTCGAGTTGCAGAGTTGGGCACATTTGAATTTCCATGAATTCAAGAGTAGCGATTTTCGGGCCTCGTCAAATTTCCGTTACCCGACTTCCATAAATCTACCCCATTTTGCTTCCAAATGAACATCAATGTCGAAAAATGCGTCATCCGTTAACCGGAAGGTCCCAACCGGTCCAGCTGAAAGGCCAACCTATTTCCGCGAGAATCCACCCCTAATCCCGGGCAGCCAAATGATAAATCGTGAAGCCCGGCGTGAGAGGGAGGCGAGCAGTTTTGAGAGGGCCCCTCTCCTGGGCTGGGCCCTAAGCCCTGAGGGCCCTATGGCCCCTGCACTGGCCCGTGTATGTGTGTGTCCTGGCGGTTCCTCCTCAAAAGATGAGCCGCGTGACAATCCACTCCCTGGGCTTTATGCGGGCAGGTATGGCAAGAAAATTGGGGTCCTGGAGCGCTCCACTTTCGTCTGGGATTTTTTTCGTGGAGTACAGATGGATATGATGAGACAGAGAAGAAGCTTGATGTTAAAAGTGGAATTAAAGGGACGGGGAAGTCTGAGAATCGACCGTCTCCATCGACTAGTATCGACAGCTAAACAGCGGTGCTCCGAATTACGATTTGAAGCCGGATCGTACGGGTTTAATATTCAAGCTTTCGTTACATTTTGACGAAAATGTCGAACCGCATAATGCCGGAATTTCATCACGTAATAAATGTCGACATTTTTGGCATAGCATTTTTTACAATTTGAACATCAGAGAAATTTAAAAATTATAGAAATTCGAAGTTATGACTTTTGCTATCTAGAATTTTGGCGATAAGGTTTTCCATATTCTGATGGCATGACTGATAGTCGTGACAGGTGTGGCTTCCACGCTTCAACCCCCCCGTTTAACACATTTTTAAAGGAATTAAAAAAAAAGCAGCTGGGCGCCTTTTAGAGTCTAAAATCGGTAGGAGGTAGAAAAATACGTTAAATTTAGCCTTCGCTTTTTTACACGGGTAGGGCCTTCCTTCTGCGCACTCCAGGCGGTCCCCCAGCTGATGCCCTTGTCTAGAAATCTCAAGTTGCCGTCCCCACTTTGAACCCCCGGCCGGAACTGCTCTCCATGACCTTCCATCGGCCAAAAAAAGCGTCTACCCCCCGCAAAAACGGAACGCTTCGTTTTTTGGCCGTGCGCTCCTTGGAGGGGAATTGAATGCCGGGTCAAGGGGGCAATGTTCCGCATAAAGAGGACATAAATTCCCTCGGCAGCCCATATAAGAAGGGCCACCGTGGGCCCCTAGCTATGCGAATTTCGGGAGGTCGGAAGGGATGGGCATTGGGAAGATGGATTTGGGCTAAAGGGAAGGTGACAGCAGTGACAAGCCTAAGCCTAAGCCTAAGCCTAAGCATAAGCATAAGCCTAAGCAAAGCCTAAGTCTCAGCCTACATTGAAGGCTAAACCCAAGCCTGAGCGATACTGGATAAAAAGTTTTTTATTAACACAATCAAAATCGCAAACATTTCAGCATCGGAACCATCGTTGCACTTGTCGGATGTGTATGCAACCTTTTCCTATTTACGGCTCTTCTTGGTATACGGGCATATATTTATCAGGTATCCAAAAAAATTTCCAATCCCCAAGACAATCGTAGTGTTTCCTTGCATTCCTCGATTTCACCATGTGTCTCCTCTTCGTACACCTCTTCGGGTTGTTGCGGATCAGCCAAGTAAGTCGCGGAATTCTTTTTTTAGTGGATTGCCTAAGCCTGGACTTCCCTCATTGAGAATCTTTTAATTTATAAAACTTCTTGAAAATGGGCTCAAGGGCCCGGCGCAACTCACGTACGGCCCAAATTGGTAGCAGCCTTGGGAAGCGAGAGAGGGGCCCTAGAGGGACCCGTTTGGTTCTTCAGGTCTTGAGGGCGAATTTTCATTAAAAGTACATGCATGGAAGTGGGTCTAGGAAGGTCAAGGCTGGGGGAAAAGCGTGCAACTAAGTGGAACCCGCTACAAGAACTGGCAGAGCAAACTTTGGCGATAAAGCGTTTTTCAAAGCAATGAAAATATTTTTAAGGTTTTCGAGATCCGATGGCTATACGACATCATCATGGATTCGTACGCGTTGAGCTGTATAGCCAGTCGCTTCGTGCAGGTTGCCATCCCTTACGTGCTCATCGCAGTGTCGGCAGAGCGTTTCGGGCAGATTTCCGGGCGAGCTATTCAGTTTAATAGAAGGTATGCAAGAATAAATTTCCTTGCTAAAGGATCATTGAAAATGATGCAGAACAGTCGATTCCGCATGTTCTCTGTCGGCTTACCGGCCCACCCCCACTCGCCCCCCACCTGGCCCACTCCCAGTGAATACCTTCCCTCCCCGATCCCTTCATAAACTTACCTGGCTGGGGGGTTCCCGTGATCATCAAGACGGGACCCCAATGGCGAGGCTTGGCCATTGCACTTCTCGGCCGGGCTGACCTGTAAGGCAGCTCCGAGTTGGGGTTCGCCTACAGCTAAATTTTTGCGTCAGGGGCTGCGTCCGCGCGGCCCTGAAAATAAAGTCAGATTTGCGTCATCAGAAGTTGGTTTGCGTCGTTATGCAACGTATCCCGCACCAGGAACGATTCTGTTAATACGCCTTATTCGTCTTTTTCAACAAGCACCCATCGTAGCGCCCATAAACAACATGGCGACCCATTTTTCGGTGGTCGAAATATAGCCCCAGAGTTTGCCCCAGCCAGTCTTTATTGCCGCATCTTTTGCGAGCGGGGAGTCTCGGTTGCCCTCCCTCTAATCCTTGTTACGCCTGAAGAAATGTTTATGCGCTCGGGGATTTATGGTTGAAAAGAGTTCCAGCGGGGCCCGGGGGCGCTTGAGGTTGCACGCTCTCGGCGGTAAAAATTTATTATTACGAGAGCTAATTGGGAGGAAATTGAGAAATTTGAGACGATTCACGGCGGTTTCAAATATTTTCACACAGCCTAAGGCTTAAAAATTAATAAATTGAAACGCCAGAAAACTTTCAATCTCAGAATAGCACTTTTATCTTTTCCTATAATTGAAGAATTAACGAATTATAGCGAAAATAAAGCTTTCAGTACAAGGAAAAGAAGCTTAGATTATCCTATAACCCAAGAATTATCAGATTGTGCCACAAATAAAACATTAAATGAAACCAGATGACCGTCGCATTAGTCTAACATCTCAAAATTAACAAAGAAAATCTATAGTTGATGTTTAATCTATGATCTTAGCGCAGAAAATCTTCAAGTTTAATCATAGGCTTTTCAGAACCTATCACCGTGTCGAAATATGCTTAATAATATTCGGCATCACCCTCCTGCTGCGTGGACTCCAATTTAAAGCAATTATGGTAGGCGTACACAGTATCCTTCAGTTTCGCCAACATCTTTAGGTGGGAGAGATGCCAAACTGCACTCAGTACTTCTACTCAAAAGGCCTCATGGCTACCGAGTTTGGGTTGTCCACTGAATTCTATTATACAGACGTCGTACAACAGGTTCATTCGTATAGGTTACCAAAAATTTAACCCAAATTTAGTTCATAAACCTGTTCGTGAGCTTCTTGGTGCTGTGCCTGTTGAACTTGTTGATCGTGCGGAAGCTGAAGAAGAGCCATCGAAGAGCTAGGCGTCAATCGGCTTCCGTTTCTCATACGCTGGAGCTGACTTGCAAAGTAGTTTCCGCGTTTTCTTATTTTTGACATAGTATGTGCCATGCATACTTCCGTCAGGGTGGGGGGGACTAGGTGTAAGAAGCGGTGTGCGCTCCATTTACTGTTAGGAATGTTAGCATAAGCCGGGTGGCGGCAGCCTATATAACGACTGAGATGGTGATTTTCATCACGAAATTCGGCCGAATTATGCAGGTATCATGGGCTCGACGGGGCCAGGGTTGAAGTCCGAGCGGCTTTCAACCTGTTTGACATCAAAAATTATGATTACAGAAACAGGATGTGACTATCACAACCAAGGTAGTTAATTTTTAAGCGTGTCTTCACGGTGTAAAAACTGGTTTTATCGAGTACCCGGAAAATTCAGATCCTCCACATCCCTGGGGGATGGATCGCCAATCGGGTAAAGCAAAGAAATGCTCCAAAACACACCTCTGTGCTTCCGCTTTCTCCCCATTGTCCCAAAATACTAGGATGAAAACAAAGCCCGCGTTCCATTTCCGTGATTGAATCTTGAAGCGCGTGCAAAACCCGACCTTCCACTGTTTGCTGTTGGAGCTACTTCAGGCTTCACGGGCAATATGCGAAAAGTGGCCATGAATAGCCCAGCCTCGATTATTAGCCATGCTGAGTCGATGTTGGCCCTAAAGCTTCCCCATATCCTGCGTCCAAATGACCCTACGCTACGCAATTTTCCCTCCCCAATAGCTAGAATCTAGGCTAAAACGTATAAAAAATTCACTTTCAGTTCCCCAAAAGCCAATCAATACGACGGCTGGACGATCAGGCGCGAAGGGAGCAGAAACGGGTCAGGTGCGGCAAAAACACACATACAAGTGTGAAATATTACTGCTTAAATCGTTTGCAATGCATTTGAAAAGACAATAGAAAGGAAAGTCACTTCAGGTTCGCCATCCGCACTACAGTCGTGATCATCTCTTCATATCTGGCCTGTAACTCGATCAACTTCTTCCTCTACTGCTTCGAAAGGTTTTGGCAGGACGTCCTATATGTGGGTGCAACACCGTCTTTCTAAAATTTGATATCAGGACGAAAATGGACAGTTCCACGCCGGCTACGTGTTCATCAGCGACGTGGGCACAAATTTGGTGGTGCTTGCCAGCACTATCAGAATATTCATCTATTATAAATATAACCCGGAAATTAGGAAGCAGGTTAGGAAGACCGTGCTCGAAAAATCATTGAGTTGTCAGATCCGCTCAACAATCCCTCTACTGACTTACATGTTGACGAAGAAGGGCCGCAGGAAGCCGAATATGAAGGAGCCGGTGGTGGTGATGAGCGTCGACTGTCCGGAGACGGAACCCCTGCAAAGCATTCAGTTTATTGACTCGTGAAGGTGTTGCAATTTTTTTAAATTCCCTCCAGAAAATCGTATAAAAAACAAGGAACCCCTATATTTTTAAAGTATATCTTATCGAAATAAGCCTTTCTTCCCATTTCGGATCTTGATCTCCCACTTGTACACCGATAGGGTAGCTATTTGTTGTATTTTGATACTTTAAATTTAAATCACTATTTCTATAGTGACTCCCCTAAAAGTTATACGATTCGCTCACCACGCCTGACAACGCCCGTCCTAAAATGTGATATTTCGTTTATTGAGTGCAATTTTTTTTTTATTCACAAACTTGTCCCAACATTCAAAAGTGTGTGTGTACGGTACTTGATGGAATTATGGCTATAAACGGATCAGTGGATGTAAGGCACAACCAAAGCGGGGGAAAATGGAATGAATGACACAGAATTCTCCTATAGGCACAAGGTTTTCTAGCAGCACTTCTTGTTGTCGGGGATCAGTCCGCGCACCTCCAGCCACTCGTCGTCGAGGAATTTGCTCCTGGAAAGAGAGAATAGGCTAAAAAATCACTAACACCTAGCTATGTTCGTTAAGAAACTCACAAGTAATTCCGGACGCCGTCGGGGAGGATGGCAACAATGTTGGAACCCTCAGGCAATTCCTTCGCCACCTAAAATAGCGAGTAGGAGATTATACCTTTATTTAAAAATAGCTTAAAAAGGTATAAAGATTCAATATTCACCTGTAGAGCCGCCCAAACATTTGCGCCAGAACTTCCCCCGCAAAGCAGTCCCTCCTTGGCTATCAGGGCTCGCGCAACCTCGAAAGATTCCTATAAACAATATATTAACACCGAGCAAAACTATAGCACCTTATCGGCAGTCTTGATCCACTGATCAACACAGTTGCGCTTCAGGGTTCCGGGGATGAAGTCGTAACCAGTGCCCTCGACCTGGAAACAAGAAATTGCGTATCAATACTACTAGTACTTTAAGTCTAGGTTAACAAAAAAACTATATTCCCTACCTCGTAAGACTTGGTCCAGTCTTGCGTGGGATCGGCGAGGATTGAGCCGATCGGGTCGACACCGACTACCTTGCAGCCCTGCAGTTTGTCCTTGATTTTCATGCCGATACCGGTGACGGTTCCTGAAAAACGGAATTGATCGACACGACCAGCTCTCCATTTAATTTCGGAAATATTGCTCATCGGAGCCATTTCACATTTTTAGAAAATTTTAGCAATTCTTAGAGTCTCGCTTATTCAGAATCTCGTATTTTTATAATTCGAATTCGATAAATTCGATAAGTTGCCAGATCCAGATCCCACTCAAAAATACCGGGGAATTGCACCTTTACGTGCTGCTGCCAGGATATGGAAAATTCGCGATTCGGAAGATTTTGAAAAAGTGCCTCCAGGCGTAACTTATCTTTACTACGCTAAGCCGAAGCTTGGCTCAAGTTAAGCTTAGGCATCGTATGCATTGGGCTATGCTCGGGCGTAGCTTTTCCAGGGGCTTAGAGATTGATTAAAAACGGCGCTTGGAGCGCTCTGTTGGCAAAATCCAGGCCGCCGCCACGAAGTAAATTAGCACCAAAAGTGCCTTTCTTCAAAGACCCTTACTCACCTCCAGTGCCAGCGCCCACCACAACAGCGTCGAGTTTCGCGGGAGCCTGGGCGATGATCTCCTCGCCGGTCTGCTCGTAGTGCACCATCGGGTTGCCCATGTTACGGTACTAAAAGGGTTGTGCTAGAAGATCGCCGGAATTTCGTACCTGATCAAGGATGATGGCGCCGGGGATCTCCTTCTGCAGACGCAGCGCCACGCCGATGTGCGAGTAGGGCGAATCGAAGCCGGCCTCGTTTGGCGTACGAACTAGAAATTCACAATGGTTTCCTTACTAGCGCAAAAAAAACGTACCAATGATAGCACCGAGCGACTCCATCGCCACCGCCTTCTCCTTTGACATTTTCACCGGCATCACGATGATGCACCTAAAAACAATTTTAAGATTGAACCCTTCAAAAGGCTACCAGACGTTTAAAAAACGTACTTATATCCCTTGACGGCCGCCGCCAACGCCAACCCGATGCCAGTATTTCCTGAGGTTGGCTCGATCAGCGTCATCCCAGGCTTCAGAATGCCCTTCTGCTCGGCTAGCTGAAAATTGATAATAAGTATTATTTTTAAAACAAAGAGTATACCTCAACCATCCTTGCGGCAATTCTGTCCTTGATAGAGCCGCCGGCGTTCAAGTATTCGCATTTCACATCTAAAGACAAAAAAAAGTAGAATTCAGCCTTTCAAACGTACAAATGTTTGCGTTGACGCCGTACATCTTCGGGAGGCGCTGCAGCTTGACAAGCGGCGTGTTGCCGATGGCTTCGAGTGCGTTGTTGAGCACGGCTGGCCGAGATTCCCTAAAAAAAGGTGAAAAAATGGTGAATAGATTTACCTGAAAGGCTTGAAGGGCTCGCTGCACTTGTTGAACTTTCCGTCTTCGGTCTGGTCCCAAGCGCCGGCTAGTGTGGTCGGGCAGTAGCTCGTGACGATGCTCGAGTCGAATTTGCTGCAAAAAAATTGATAAATACAAAACGATCGTAAAGTTATATTTACAAATGTTATAAAACGATAACTTTAATGCAAAGATGCAAAAAAACTGACTCATCCGGCTTGGCGGTCGGCTTGTGCACCTCGGGAATGACGCCCTGGTCCTTCAGCCACTGATCGTCGCAGAACTTGCTCCTGAAAAATGTAGTTTTCTCAAAGTCTCAAGGGACAATCGATGGTGTTAAGAAAAATTCGCTATCACGCACAAATAACTTCGGATGCCATCACTGAGCACCACGACGACATTGTCGTGCTCCGACAAATGCTTGGCCTTCTCGAGGGCCACCACAAGGCCGGCTCCTCCAGCAGGGCCAGTCATCACGCCCTCTTCACGGATCATACGACGGGCCATCAAGAAAGATTCCTGAAAATGAATTATCGATACAATTCAAAGAAATGATCTACCTTTGAGCCAACGTCATGTGATTCTTGCTCGCCGGGCACTTCCAAAAACGGGTAGCGTTCCAACCCCTAAATTTTTTATTAATAACTACAAATTTCTAGCAAAGAATTTACGCTTGTGGTCTTGTGATCCGGGGTGATGTTGACGGAGACGACCGCGGCTTTGCCCTGCGCCTTCTCGGAAATTGCCGCGGCACCCATTCCGTGAGGGACGACGATCAGGCGCACCTGAAAGCAAACAACACTAAAAAACCTCCAAAAACATTCCTTACATTGTCTTTCGCCTCCAGAATCTCATCGCCCAGATTGTAGCCGACAATTTGGTCAGCCAGCTCTTTCTCCAGCTGAAAAAAATGGTTTTCATATTAAGAAATGCTGAAATACCGCGTTCAGGAGGATGGAATTGGGTATGTTGAGCGCCTTGGCGTACCCTTTGGAGCAGACACCGGTGTTGACGCGGAGAACCTAAACTTTATTAGGGTTGTAAGTAAAAGGGTAGTACCTCGGCTCCTAGGGCGATCAGCAACGTGTTATTGTCGCGGACTTCGCGCTCGGGCGTGACGATGACGAGGCTAAAAGAAAGTATGCATCTGACAAGTCATTAATGCCGTTTTTGAGGATAAAGAAAGGTCGAGAAATTCATATCCTATGCAAAAAAACACGCACCGATATCCCTTCACGGCACAAACAACAGCCATAGCGACCGCTACATTGTGCCCGGCGCTGTAGACCAGGGTCGTGTCCGGCTTGATCTTTCCCTTTTCCTCGGCAAGCTAAATTCCCGTGAAAAATACATTGATGAAAATCACACCTCAATCAGGCGCTTCGCCAAGCGGTCGTGGGACGAGCCACCGGCATTCAGGTACTCGCACTTGATGTCTGAAATTGGAAAAATAACAGGGTTTCTATACGTTTCGCTCCTCCAGTTATTGCTACGCATTAGTACAAATTTCAGATTTTTCTGTTCAAAAATCAATACAAGAATGTCTACTCATCCCAGGATTTCAATGAAATTGTTTCTCTGAGCTCCCCGCCCTCGTATATGTCTAGGATATCGACCACGTGGTGACCGGGGCGCAATTGATAAGACTGGAGCGTAATCACGAAAAAAACCAGGCTGCTAGTATAGATTAAAACGAAATGCACTGAAAGCCAAACTAAAATAATCACAGAAAACTCACAAATGTTCGCCTTGATTCCTTGGGCCTGCGGGATTTTGTTGAGCAAGATGAGGGGAGTCTTGCCGACGGCCTGTAGCACGGTGTCGTAACTAAAATCATGAAATATAGGTGGATTTTTATAAAATTTTACCTTTTCGAGGCCATGGCTTCTTGAGGTCGGGGGACTGCCTGAAAAGAAGAATGTTAGCCGGCGGTCAATTACAAGTGAATAAAGTAAAGTTTGAAAAGTATGATTGAGCATAAGAAATAAAAGCGAATACAATTGTTAGAAATCATGAGCGAGCAATCCGAGAATCAGAAATCGCGCGCATCTGCCTGATAAGACGATTTGCCACACTTTCACATCAATAGGAGCTGGGAAAATACGCCGTTTTGAGCTTTTTGAGCCTCAAGATCTGTAAAGAAAAATAAGCACAAAATTGTAAAATGGGTTCGGTCAGGGCATTTAAAATGTTGAGGGCGAATTAAGGCTTTAGCCAGCGTTGGGTTTGGCTATTTCTGTCGTAGCAGTTTTTCAATATGTTATTTTTTTAAAATAATAATTTTTAATTTTTTAATTAAGACAATAGTTTTTTTTAAATTTGGAGCCTCTCATGTTTGCTCTTATTAATGGGAGGCTGTTTGATCATGTAGAAAAATTCAGTAAGTCAATAAGGCATGAATCTATCTTTTAAAAATCCTTTTGGAGCACTTTTTTAAAAATAAACGCGCAAGAACCAAAAAAATAATCTGATTGACCGCCGGGCGAGTGGGGGGTAAATGTCGGGCCGTGTGGTTTCTCTGCCGCCAGGATGGCCAGGAATAGACAGCCGGGTGAGGGTGAAAAGCGGGAAAAGATGGGTAGACAGACGGACAAATAGGTGGACAGAAAAACAGATAGATTGAGATATACAGACAGGGGGACGGTCGCGGCAGGTGGAGTGAAAGGGAAAACGGAGGGCCCAGACATTTTTTACGAGAGGGCGAAACGTAGTTGCGGCAAGCCGGGGCGAAAAGTGGCTGCCAGGAAACGAGCGGGGGTTTTTTTACTCCCAATCTTCATTTCAAGAAAAACATCTTAATTTGATCGCTTAACTTGAAAGATTTTAATCAAACGAAAATCGCTGATTTTCGGCTAGAATGCCGAACTTTTAAAAGTTTTACGAGTTTTTCGATGATTTTCCACTTAACACATAGTCAAGTTTTATCAAACCCCTTATTAAACAACTTACAATTACGTTACTAGAAATTTCTCGGCCACAACCGCCCATGGGTTCGGTCCGGATGGTTCAAGGGAAAGGGCGTACTGTACGTGTTTTTCGCGCGTTGCGTGCCGGTGCGCGAAATAGCAACCGGTATTTAGTTGCGCAGGCCTGCTTTCGCAATTTCGCGACGCGTCTAACGCACGCATTGCGGTCTTCCCTCCTTTCCAAAGCTACCGGACGTTTTATTAGGAGCCGGGCCGCTGTGCGGCTTATTCGGATACCCCCTCTGCCGATAATACGCAAGGACCCGAAAGCGGAAGTGTGGTATGAAAGATTTCCCAGCGACCAACTGACAAAAATGAAATGAACGACAAAATGATTCGAGGCGGGGCGTTTAGTGTATTGTCTAGACATCGAGTCTCTGGGTCCCGTGGATCAGATAAGGGTCGACGATGGATGACTAAGCAAAGCATTTGCATTCCAGAAGCAAGAACAACATATCGTCTCCACTGCCTGCTCGGCTTGCACGGATAACAGCTAGGGCTAAACTAACAGATCGGGACATTATGAAAGCGGATATGGTTCGGATCCACATCTTTTGAAATTCGAATCACCAACTTTTTCGGAAGAAACGGTAAGGGGAAATCTAAAGGAAGGTCCATTACTAGAGCTTCGCTGCGTTTTGATGTTTACCCGAATTGGACCTGATAACACCCCCCATCGATACCGACTCGCGAGGCCCGCACTCCACCTTATCAGGAAGTCAGTCACTGAACTCAATTCTTCAAAACATGATGCGTATCATTGGAAATCTCGCAAAAATCAACGCAACACGCGGCAAAGTCTTGGCATCTTGCTGTTTTTTGCCCCGCTCTCGCGCTCCAAAAATTAGAGTATACTCATAATTGTTCGTGTGCACGGAAATCTTTAGTAAAAGGCGAAAGATTTTCTCGGACAAATGCACACGAACCAGAGGTGAGCAAGGTAGGGAGGGGCGCTACTAGTGGGGACAGAGACGCCCAGGTGGTGGGCTAATGGGGCGCCGAGCAGGGTGCATGCAGTGCGCACATACTAGGTCATGGACTTGATTAGGACTTGCTGAGCTACTTTGTGCGGCAAGCGTCAGATGGCCGTTCAAGTGTCTGAAGTATACTCTGCGCATGAACGGGCACTTGACCATACTAGGGCCTCGCGCGCTTTCTACCAAACTTTTTTCGGCACCATTTTTTTGCTCTTTAAGATGCCAATTGAGTTGGGTGTTCAAAATGCCCGGCTGGCCTCCGATTGGTCCTTAAAAGGTAGCGTAACCCCCTTTCCCCGTACAGTTGCGTACAACGACCATACGTGCTGCGTAGCCAAATTCAAGCTTTTCGTGAAGCCGTCTTACATTTGCATTATTTGTGCACTTCCCGAAGGCGACCAGTATACGCGCTGCGTAGCCACATTAATAATTTTCGTGAATTCGTTTCACATTGGCATTATTTGTGCACTTCCCGAAGGAAATGCGTTCCAAAATTTGTTCGAGTACTCGTGGAGGTCTCGGGGTTAATGCTAACCTCAAACTTGGGTAATTAAACCGAACCTCTGGTTGGCTCGCCGCTCTTACCATCTGCCCTGACTCCAGGGGAGTGACGTTTTAGATACTGTGAAGATTCATTGCGCGTATTGTGTGAAAGCCACCCATCATCATCATCATCGTTTATTGAGATTCTTTCGAAAATCGGTTAAGGAAGGGAGTCGAGAATTTCCCATACCCCAGCAATTTTTTTTGAAAAGCTCATGAATGAGTACACGTATTGTTTGGGAGCTAGACTTTAGTTTCTGAGAGCAGCACTGGGATGACGACAGTTTTCTTTCCGGCGTCCACAGGCCGGAAGGATCTAGGAAGGTTAGTTTGAGCATATATCCCTCTCATTCTTTCTCTCTCGCTCTCTCGCTCTCTGACTTACTTATGAATTTGATTATGTGAAACTCGCACGAAGATCCGATCGTGATTCTGCTTCTTGTCGTAGCTCTTATTTTGGACAATATACCCGTCTTTTTCAGTGATGTCGTCCGGCATTATCTGGAGGTTTGAGAGTATCCCCATTTCCCGGACAACATACCTTAATGTTGGCCTCCTTTGTGAGCTTGAGCACGGCAGTTGAGGGAGGCTCATAAATAATATTTTTCTGCGGCACAAGTACGTAGTCCACAGAGCCGCCGTCCTAAAAATGGAGTTGAGGCAATGTTTGGAAGTTTGAAGTCGATTGGCGACGATAATATCGACAAGGCATAATACAACATAATAATTTTGAAATTGCACTATGTCGGCATTGTTTACATAATATTTAGGACTTTTTTTAGGTAAATTTTGGTTCTTTCGCATCATCGGGGGAAGTGGCGACCGAACTTTTTTTTGTATAAGTTTAGAAATGCCTAGTAACTTCGCAGAAAGTGTTTTAATAGCGATTGTCGTAATATATAACTAAATTTCAACTGGAAAAACCAGCTAAAAATTTTTAAAAAGTCGAAATTTTGCTCGAAAGATCGCTGTTTTTGATATTTTTTATTTAATTTGTAATGTTTCCACGTTCAGGGATAGTAAAAAAAGACCATTTAGAAACACTTCCACTATAAAAATAAGACCCCAAGAAATAAGTTGGTTTGTTTTAAACCCCTTATGAAATTCCGATATTATGACACTACGATAGTATAAAATTCGACATTACAAATGTAATCATTTTGACGACGCTTGCAAGCATGTTAACCTACCCGATCCACAAAAACCCGTCGTAATTTGAGCACTTTCCCCCCAGCGGATCGTATCGCTTCAACGCCGGTATGCTTGAAGATGTGTTCTCCGACTTGAATACCGCTAAATTTCGGTATTCGTTAGCGCTGACGAAAGCATTGAGGTTCGTATACCTTTAAAATGTACTAACCTGATAACAGCACCCTTCGCATCTTCCATTCGGCTACCCAGGTAATGAATTTTTCGAATATACTCCGTACCGGCCAAATCGATGCACATCGTTGCTCTAAAAGGGAGAGAAATGAGGTAGAATTCAATACCGACTTACAACGAAAGCCCAAAAATGATGTAGGCCATCGTGAAAAACATGTACACCTGCTCGGTGGGGACAATGTCGCCGAAACCTAAAACACAATAAATGAATCCAAATAAATTTGGTGAGTCGATTACTACTTTTCTACCCGGTTACTATTATACTTTTTCTTGCTACTTTTCAACTTACCGACAGTCGCCATAGTGATGAAGCAGAAGTAAAAGGCTTCAAAGTACTGCATATTTTCCCAATGTTGGAACAGTATTCCGCCGATGGCTGTGTACGCTAATAGGACCAACAGGACCATGAACACAGGGATGCGGAGTTCGTCTTCCATTGAGGATTCTAAGAAAACGGTTAGGTGAGACTAAGCCTGAGCCGAAGCCAGCCTGAGCCTAAGCCTAAGCCTAAGGCTAATAGTAAGGCCAAGCGTAAATCTAGCCGAAGCCTAAGCGTAAGCATAAGTCAAGCCTAAGCGAAGCCTAAGTTAACACTAAGCCAAAGCCTAAGTCAAAGATAAGCCTAAGCCTAAACTTAAACCTAGGTCTAACCTAAGCTTGACCTAAGCTTAAGCCAAAGCCAAAGTCTAAGCCAAGATGTGCTATCTCACGTACGGAATATCCACTTCGACCAGAGGGTTAGAGTAAGCTATCTTCCTCACCTGGCTCCGACTCAATATCATTCAGATTCATACTGCCGGCGTGGCTCGTCTGATCGCTCCCACGCGATTGTGATCCTGGTCGGTAGTGATGAGAGATTCGACGTGACTGACGGCGTATCTAACGAGTTTCGGTATCTTTCTACCATAGTTTACTTACCTTCCGCTTAAACGCACGGTAGGATTTGTAGAGGAAGCTCAAAAACTCTGAAAGGAATTTTCCAATGTCAGCGATTGTGACGAGGAGTAATGGGATCCCAATCAGAGCATAACAAATGCAACATATTCTTCCGACCATAGTTGTCGGAACCAGATTACCGTAACCTTAAAGTAACTGTAAGTTGAAAAGTAAAGTGCTGTATTACCAATGGTGGTGATGACCGTCGTGGCGAAGAAGACGCTATTAGGGAATGTCCACAGCAACTCCTCGCCCCTGGTCTCGTTCAATATATGGCGAGCGTTGATGTACTGGTTGTGGTAGCTGACAAAGATGTAGTTGACCAGTTTTCGGAAGTATTCCTGAGATCAGATAAGGGGTAATAGTTTTTTCTAGTACCTGGTTTATAGTGTTGAAGGCTTCTCTAGAAATGCGATTGTCGACATCTTGAGTGATGTTCCAAATGTGGTCCTGGAACACTATTTGCATAAAGCAAAAACGCCGTCATTTTTGATACCTGAAAATCGTCCCACGTCCCAAGGATCCGTTTCAGTTCAATGTCTCGTTGCTGAAAAAACATAGATTTTTGTTTTAACGTAATACATAAAGAAACTACAAAACTACAAAACGTACGATAAGCTCGTTCGGACCTTCGACATGGTAGAAAAGTGTTGCACCACCCAGCAAATAGCCAACCAGCAGGGCCACCAACCCCACGTGCATCGCTGCCCGTTTTGCATATTGGAGAAATAACTAGAAAAGCAGAGGTAAAAGATTGGGCAAACCAACCTTGCATCCATGCTGGTCGACAGGTAAATCGAGCTCGTCTTCATCGTCTGAAATTGGCGGGCCCGCCGCCGTCAGGTCGAGCTCCATTGGGATCTCATCGTCCGAGTCAGAGAGGTTGGACGTTGAGCCCTGAGAAGCTTAAATTAAGCTAGGGCTTGGGCTTAAGTTGTGAAGTAGGCTGGGGATTAAGTTAGGCTGAGGTTTGGGCTTACATTTTCGGGTAATGCGTAGTTCCTGACTTAAGTCAGGCTCAGGTTTAAGCGTAGGTGTGGCTCAGGCCTAGCTTTGAGCTTAATTTAAGTTTAGGCTCAGGCCTAGGATTAGGCCTAGCCTTCGACTTAGGCGTAGGCTTTCCTTAGCTTATGGCTTAAAGCGTTATAGATAGCTTGATCTTCCCGTTAAACGTGCGTCAACACCCCTACTCCAAAACTCACCATATCAAAGGTATCGACAGCATTCATATCTGTAGCCTTCTACGTTTAGCGACAGTAATAATGCCCAAATTATGATGTCTAATTGGCTGAGGCTCCCAGGTGGAGGGCGGCCGATGGCAGCGGTGCGGGTATGCATGTTGGCCCTTGGCTCCTCTTGGCCCTCAACCCATTCCCCCAACCTGGTCGTCGACAGCTGCTCAAGAAACGGCTTTGCCTGTCTCACCCCCGCTAACTCGGGCCAAAGCCCCCTTGGGGCACACACCGGAATTAGCACCCCGTGGAAACGGACGCACAAAAAAGCGGAACTAAAAAAGAACCCGTGCGACGTGCCGATCTGTAATTTTGAAATTTAATGCTGGCATTTCCGTTGCTTTTTTAGCGAGAAATATTGACAGGCCTTCAGAACTTCAGTAAAATTAATCATTATTTCGGGAATACCGTTTTAATTGTTTTAATTTTGAAGATATCGGAACCGGGCTGACTTTGAAGACTCTTTTGAAGATTGTGACTGTCGGGATTTTGACTCTCTTGGTCTTGGCTGTCGGCATTTTTGCCTGTCGGGTTTATAGTTGACATTTAAATTAATACGAGCGCAACAATTACACTATGTGATGTGCTGGGGTCCTATTATGTGCGTTTGTATAATTACTGCGAACAGAATAATAACTAAAATTCATTTATTAAAAGCAGCAACTCTCCACGAAAAATACAAGTCATGGTGGGGAAAAGTATTCCTCTTTTTTTTGTTCTGAAGACAGTTCGACCCGAGTGGGCTGCCGCTTGCGGTTAGAAATTGGCGGGCAGCCGGCCCAAATGAACACAAAAAATACAAGGTAAATTAAGAAAAAGGAAGCATCGATAGTGTTCACAACGGCAAATCATTAGGGTGGCAATCTTTACACACTGGCATAAATATGTGAAACGGGTCGGAAACACGTTATTGGCACAGGGAAGGAGGAGGAGGAGAATCCAGAATTTGAAAATCGGGCAAATGTACAGATCGCAGGGCCCAAACCCGCTTCTGAAGTTCTTGACAACCACATCGAAAGGGGGAAGCTAGACAATTGGCGCCGGCCAGGGACATGACCGCAAAAGATTTTGTTCGTTTTCCTTAAACTTTTTAGGATTTTTAATGCAAAGCAAGACTAACAACTTTTTGGACCTGCTATCAAAATTCCTTAATTCATACTTTCGAAATGTAGTTATTTGGAAATTGGGGTTTCGAAAAGGCTAAATTTCATGATTTCAACGCTTATCATGAAAAATCTCTTGCAAAATCGCGAAAGTTATGGAAAAAATGACAATGAGTCGCGATTTCGGTATTATATAATTTCGGCATTATAAAATTCGCCCTTATGAGCCTCGACGTTTTGAAAGCAAGTCCTTTTTGTTATGGATTTAGCCGCTACACCAAGTATACGCGACGCGCCAAGCGCCTCACGCGTAGCGTGTCGTGTCACGATCGAAAGCCATAGGAATTCTTCGCCAAAGACCTTTGACTGCCATCCTTCAAAGCCGACATTCTATACAAAATTTTCGATAATTCCCTGGCCGGCTCCCTGCAGATTCTAATTTTATTCAAGGTCCTGCCTTAATCGCTTTTTGCCTTACATTGTAAGGTCAGCTACTCGCGTGGCCAGCCGGAAGTAATTTGGTCGGCAAGATTGGCGCTAATTGCGATCCGATGCCCGTGAGCCGGGCGTCGAAGGGGTCGGCGATGAGAGTAGTGAGTGAATAGCACGCAGCTTCTCGCTCCATTCCTAAAAATGTGTTTTTTTCACGCTAGGAATTTATTAAAAGGTGGATCTCGCGCGTTTGAATCGACAATGGGTATTTTGTAGATTACCTGTGCTAATTGAGCGGTCAGATTGCCCATCGTATCACAAATGGCCACGTTATAGGCCGAGGGGCGCTCGCAGTTGCTCGTTTTGTAGAGTGCTGGGTCTCGTCGGGCTTTTTCGTGACCAAGGAAGTCTCGGTAGCGCTTTACTTCCTAAAAGATGCCGCCGTATAGATCTGACGTCAAAACGGTCCTTCTAAGTGATTTTAGATAGCGTGATCGGTTAAACCGGTAGTGTTTTACGATTTTAGATCGGGTAAGCGGTTAAATCGGTACTTCTAGTTCATTTTAGAAAACGAAACGGTCGCATGCTAACTATCTGATGAGTTTAGATAGCGTAATCGGTTAATCTTTAATCTGAGACGTTTTGAAATAGCGTGACCGATTTTAGTTTTTGTTTAGTTAACCCACCAATTTCAAACGGTTTTAGATAGCCCAGTCGGTTAAATTGGTACTCATTGGTTATTTTTGATAGCATCACCAGTCAGATCTCTACTTACTGACTTTAGGTAGCGTAACTGGTTACATTGCTATTTATTGACGATTTTAGATTTCGTCATCAACTAAATCGATACTAATCTACGATTTTACATAGCGTAAATGGTTTCCTAGCGATTCTTAGCAAAAGCCAGCTTTGTTTCCGGTATTTTAGGATTCCGGAAAATGCGAAGCTTAACTCGTCACGACCATCGCTTTTTTTTAAACCCTGAAAAAAACGTACATCATGTAGATCATCCAGTCTTCTGCTCACAGACTCGAGGCATTTCCGCGATTGGTCGCACTCCTAAATGTATGGCATGTTTTTCGGCTCTCCTCATTTTCTGAGACCAACAGCCGTTCTAAAGGTATCTAGGCTGAGGCAAAACTCCTCGATTCAAAATACAGCCATCACTCAGGCTTGATCATAAGACCTTTCCTCCGGATGGCATAAGCTCAAAGCCCCGTGGCGGGAAACCCTTTTTTGACGGGGAAGCTTAGTTGATGGGATGGAGAAGGGAGAGGGTGGAGAAAAAAAGGAATAAGAAGGACGGGAGAGTTGGCCGGAATCTTCAAAGCGCATCCCGGGGCTGCAGCGGCTTGAATTCCAAACAGCCGTCAGGGTTTCGAGAGGAGAAAACAGGGATGTTGCTTTCTCTGGAGGCAGAAAAGTGGACATCCGGTTTGATTTCCACGGTTTTTCGAAAGTTCGATCAAGCTTGCGAAAGACTATGCCAGTTACCATAAGCCTCAGGAAAAAGATTTAAAAAAAACTTGAGGATTTTTACCCTAAATACACTGTATCTTCTTGAAAATGTGCATTAAGGAAATTTGAAAAATAGATGCAGTATCAGGTAAAAATATCCACAAGATGGGCTTGGTCTTGCTGAAAATGTGGATGTCACTCAAAACCGACTATCTGTTGAACGCGCTTTCGCGCCGTAGGCTTAGGCCTATGCTTGGACTTAGGCTTTGGCTTAGGCTTCGGATTATGGAAGGGCTTAAGCTTGGGCTGAACTCGAGCTATGGTGTTCTTATGGGTTTCACCACTATGTTTTGAGTGGCTCAAGCAACAACAGCGATTAGAAAAATTTCTACCCCTTCATCTCCTCAACCTTCAACCCCAAAACCCAGCCTAGCTTTTCAAATATCTCGAGTTTCGTTATTTTCGTGTGGAGAACCCCCGCAGTAAGGGAGAACAACGGGTGGAAGGGACCCTCTTGGGCCCTTGTTGGGTCCTTTGCCGCAGTCGATCACCCCCCGGAGGGCCCGTGATTCTCGACTTGGCATTGAGGAGGAGATCCCCTAGGGGCAATCGGAGGGGGCCCTCTCCGCTTCTTTTTCTACCACGTCGACCCCCTCGACGGCCACTGATCTTTCTTCTTCTTTGCTTTTTTTGGGAGTGAGACGGAAGTTGACAGCAGAATGACGGGAGGAATCGTTGTGACTTGAAACCGAGAAAAAGTCTATCAAATTTTTCAAGGAATGGTGTCAGAAAGTGCTCGAAAAAGAGTTGACGTCTAAGCTCGGCACTCTTCATTTCCATCTCTTTCTCTCCCTGTCTCTCTCACTCTCTCTCCCTCACTCTCTAAAAGTGCACGCCAAGCCCCCATGCGGCGTCTTAGAGGTCAGGTATTTTCAGGAAAACGGATGGACCTTCTGTCTTTTCCTCCATTTCCCCCTCGGCCACCCGAAAGTCAATTGTCGCGCCCGAGCACGGGGTCCCCTTCATTCTCCTTTCGCGCCCCTCGACTTAAATGCCCTCCTTGGTCGGCAAATTCGATAGGAATAGCCGGAGGGAAGAGAGGAAGTGGGCAGGCAAAAAGTTTAATATCTAGTTGGGTTTAGAGTTGGGTCTCTCCAAGTATGTTGCCCATACCTTCAGAACTGTGTGGTGTGCGAATTTGATAACGTTAGCAGCTAGCCCTCCGCTGAAGTATGCAACAAATGTTATCGCGATTTTATGGGTGTTGCTTTCGGTCGGAGTGGCCGTTGGCAAATTGCTGCGCACACCTTTTCCGGCACAACAAGCGGGACAGGTTTCCAGGTACCTGAAGCCGCGCGATCACTGAACCCCGAATTTTCGGGCTACATGAATTTTTATGTGACTATGACCACTTCAAACTACCTTAAAGATCAAAAATGTCACTGGAACCCTCTTAGTACCTCGCGACCCCCCAAAACCCTTGCTTCCCGAAAAGCTCACGTTTCTCCTCCCCCCATCGACTTGGGGGGATGTTTCCGAGAAGCGAGTACCCTCTCCTACCCCATGGTTGCTCGTGCGGGGAGAAGCAGCACGATGGGTAATTAGTTTTGTCCGAATGCTCTTTGGTATTCCTGAGTGGGCCGCGGGCCCGGAGAAAGCATATCGGCAGACGCTGTTTTCCTTCAACCGCCTGGAAAACAGGTCTGCTGTGGGCGGATAGGGATGAACAGAGTGCGGGATGTGAATTTGGGAGTTATTTGATGCAGATTGGGGCTGTAGGGATGATTTATGCTGTTATTAAGCGATACGTAAAGATAGTTCAGCTTAGGCTTAGGCTTAGGCTTAGGCTTAGGCTTAGGCTTAGGCTTAGGCTTAGGCTTAGGCTTAGGCTTAGGCTTAGGCTTAGGCTTAGGCTTAAGCTGAAACGTAGGCTTAAGCTCAGGCTTAGGATTAGGTTAGTCTTAGGCTTAGGCTTAGGCTTAGGCTTAGGCTTAGGCTTGATGC